AGCAACTGTTTGTCATCGTCCCCCGTCGCAGAGAATATTTACAGCCGCGTCCAAATAGTGGCGCCGTGCGCATCTGGAAACAGCACGCGCAATGATTATGCGCACCCCCTTCGCTCTCGGGCCCGCAGAGATGCTCGGCGCTCTGTATCTGCGATCGCGGACCTGTCTGGCCAACTCCGCCGCCGTCTCCTCCGAGGGCGGCGCCGCCGGCGAACGGGCGCGATGCGAGCGAGATCTGCGGCCGCCAAGATATGCCGGAGCGTCTTCTGGCAACGAAAATCACGAGCGCCCGGTTCAGGGGCGCGGTTTGGCATTCGGGTTTGGCTCTGTCGCGAAGCCCGACGGCGCCGGGGCCGCGGCTTCGCATTCCCGGGCCAGATGCGGCGGCAAGACCCGCGCCGACTTCTGCGAGGGCGCGCGTTCCCAAGGGAAACTGCGCAGGGAGCGCAATGGAGATTCGGCCCGAAGTCGCAGCTGGCCGTCGATCATGGTAGAAGCGAGCAGGGTAATCCGCAGTAGTCCCAATCGCCAGCGCGCGCGGATTTGCCCATAATCGCCCAGGGGAATAATGGCGCTCGCCATTCTTCGCAGCGACGTAGCTGCGCGTCGGCCCACCTCGCGCGCGAAAGACGCCCGCCGCGAGAGAAGCCCCACATGCCGGATCGTCTGCGCTCCGCCGCGCCAGCTCTTACTTGCGCAACCTGCCCGTGGGCTAGCTGGCCCTGTCGATCTCGAGTTGCGGGCGCCCATGGAAGTCGCGGCGAAGCTCTCGCGGGCGTCGCTGGTCTCCAGGCCCGGCGGCAATTGCGGCCCCCAGCATGTCCTGAGCCTCGCGGCATTCTTGAATCAGAGTAACTGCTTCCCTCCGGAAGAAATCGCGAGCTCATCAGAGCTTCCATTTCGGCTGACGGGAATCGCGGCATGGCGAGCTGCGAGCATTCCAACGAGCAAGCGATTCACCTTTCTCCTGCACGCTGCGCGTCCAGGGAGACCCCCTACCACAATGGGGACAACAAAAAAAACGTTGGCGCGGTTGCGCAAAAGCTAGCGAGCGCTGTGTTAAGACCCTCCACTACGGACGCTTTGCCGACGCCGAACCTGGCAAGGACGGCTCCACGGACTTCCGCCGCAACAGTCGGGGCCGACTCGGTTGCGGCGACACCCTGGGGCCGCCGGGCGCCCATAGCCAGTTGCCGATGTCTGTCGTAGGCGAGTTTCCGAAGACCTCGGGACTAGAGTTTCGATGCGATTTATAAGGGCCCCCGTCTGCGCCGACGGCGACGGGCGAGTTGGCCCCGGCCGCGTCTATCCGGGTGGACTCTGAAGGCGCTGAAGCGGCAGGCCCCCCACGCACTCGGAATATATTCTGCGTGAAGGAACCTCCCCGTGGAGCTCGATCTGATTATTGGGAGTGCCAGAAGCAATCATTCAGTCTAGAAGAGCACGTTTGGTTTCGGGGGGGTCGCTCTCGGGGCTCCGGTACTGAAGGGTGCGAGATCCGCCGATCTTTCCCATCCTGCGAAAAACATACAAATCCATGGGGACGATGGCTCAGCCAATGCGAGATAGAATTCGGGCGCTGACTGGGCCCGCGTCTACTGCTGGTCATCCACCTTCTGGGCGCGGTCTTGACGCGCATGGATGTTAGTGTTATGTTGTTCCAGATGGCTAAGTCGATGCAGGCCAGATTCTGGGGCTCTGGAACTTGTGCGTTGGAGTAAAGCCGCTGTGTCTTGAGCCGAGCCTAAGCAGTTGCCGTCTCTGTCAATTGTGTTGTCGCCGTCTTGATATGCTCCTTCCCAAACTGGGTGAAATGTCGTTCCAGGTTCGCCAGACCACCATGCTGATTAGCAGGGTAACGAGGGGGAAAGCGATGCAGGGTGAATCTGACCAGGCTCCTCGTCTGGTTCAGAAAGAGTGAGCATATCGTCCAATCGCCGCGACGTGTCAGGCGAGAGATTGAATCTGGCAGGTGTTGCTGCTGGTCCTCCACCTGTTTCTAGCTCGATCGCGTTATTCGCCTCCACCCACTCGTTCACGCAAGCGGTCTTGCTAAATCAGAGGATCTTGCCTACATGCAGCACCCCGCTGCTGCGCTGGGCCTGCATGCCAATGTTGGTCGCGTTCAGTGTCGTGCTGTGTCTCGCTATCCGTCCCGATGGTGGCGCCGATCTCTGTGCCGCTGACGTCCATCTCGTCCACGTCCTTCGCTTCGGGTGTTAGGCTCTCTGTATTCGTCCCCCCTTTCTGTGTCTATCTCTTCCGTCGATACCCCTTCGTCGTTCCGAACCGTCTGTGTTGTCACTGCCACTGGCTGCCATTGTGTCTGAATCTGTGTTCTGCTGAGAATTCAACTGCAGAAACCATCCCGCTGCCAACGACGCGCTGGGAAATTGGCGGGCTTGTCGGGTTGACTAGGGAGCTGGGCTTGCAGAGCACCCCTAGATACTGTACGAAAGGCAGTGTGGCTGCCAGTACCACTTGAAAAGATAGAACCCCGCCAGTGCGTGCCGAAAGATGAGCGCCTGGGGCGTACCATGTGGAAGTGCCTGTGGCGTACCATGTCTTGGATATGGAACACCAAGGTTCGAAAGCTGAAGCGACTTGGATGCGAGCCGCGGACCAAAAGGTTGCTCTGTGTTGCCTTCGAAACGTTGGCATCTTAAGCCGAACTGGCTGGGCAAGAGGGAGGAGGACAACAAGCTAGGCGTCACCCCCGGCATATCTGACAGCCTGCCCCCGCCACCCGTCCCTTTCCATTGCGGTGTTTTTATTTCTCAGTCTGGCGACGCGGGGCATCGCGGGCCTGGAATGTCAAAAACGACCCCTCGTGTTATGCGCCTTCCGGAAAAAAGGGAGCTGCGTACAATGGGGGAGGTGGCAGATGAGCAAAAGGAAAGATATAAAAGGGGCGGATAAGAGGATGAGGAAAGGGAAGGGCGAGGACGAACAGCAGCATCACCACGGGAGGAGCAACAGGACCCAGGGGAAAGCTGAGTAAGGGGAACAGAATTGGGTGGCGAAGGTGAGGAAGGACGCGGGTCCAGCAGGGTGGCCCGTGCCGGGGGAGGGCCATTCTGAACGGCGGGGCTGAGCGCCGACCCGAAAATGAAGACCACGCCGTAGCGGCAACACCATTTTGGAAAACCCAAACAGGAGCATAGGAAACACATACAAGAGACCAAACAACGCTTGGCATCCCACCTTTTTAAAACAAATTTGTTATGACTAAAAAGCAGCACCATACGCCGAGGGGGGCGGGCCCCCCCCCAGCCATCTCCGGGGGACAATGGAGAACATTCTTTATATTCAGCCAGGCGCGCTCGCGCCAGATCTGGCATCCCATTCCTCCCGCACATATCGCCCCAATGCCCGGATGTCTCCTTCAGCCGCCGATGGGTGTCACAGCGGGCCTGGACCCTGCAACGGGCCCCCTTTCATTCTAATCGTGCTGTGCGCAAGATGATAATGGAAGCTGTGCCCAGGCATTCACCATGAGTAACTGTGGGCGAAGAGAGGAGAGGGGAGAGGGGAGCGAGGAAAAACAAAAGGAGGAGGTTCCATTAACCGTCATTGTCCTTCTGTTGTTCCCACTCGTGTCCTCCACCGTCTGGTCGGTCCTCCTTCTCCTCCCTCTGGAGCACCCCCCGTGATCTTCTGCCCGTCGGGGGAAATCTTCACTTCGTAAAGGAAAGCGAACGCCCTAGGGCCTGCACAACAGCCGCGAATTTGGGACCACCTGTCCGCCCTGGAACCCAGAAATATCTACAACCTCGAACAGACTACTGAAACATAAACATCTCACCCGCGAGACCCACACGAGCGAGCCGCGGACCCCGCGGGACAATCCACGAATCCAGAGCCCGTAAGATCTCGAACGACCGAGGTCTTCGCACGCCTGGCAGGAGAAGCGGGGAGGGGGTCGGCCAAGCTAGGTGCGCTCGCGTCGTATCTGACGCCCCACCACTCCCTCCCATCACTTACCATGGCGTATGTATCTTCTCTATTCGCAGAATCGGATGTCGAACGGGGCACTGATCGCGAGAGGATACGCGATGCATGGTCGAGCGCGGCATGGCATGGCGTAGAAGAGCAAGGCAGAGCGTAGCATGCCATAGCATGGCGTGGCATTGCGAAATGGAGCGTTACATCACACAACATCGCAACGCAAAACATGGCATCGGTCAGCGGCGCAGAACACAACACCGCACAGCACGTCATGGCATGGCGCCAGGTTCTTTGGAGGGTAAGGGGCTCGTCTTCGAGAGGCCTGGACTGGTCTGGAGTCGTGGCTCCATGTCTGGCTCCTTGGGCTCCCCGAAAAGCTCCACACAAGGCGGGGCTGATGGAGAGCACCCGTTGGCTCTACTTTCAACAAAGCAGAAACGGAGCTCCCGCTTGAGACTTCCTGGAAACGACGACGCCCCAAATGGGGGGGGGTGGCATTCTGCGGCCCAAAAAATCAACGAACCGACACCGAATGTGGAATCACTCCCGATGTTTTTTTTTCGGGGGGGGGGGCACCTTCTAGATTCTGGGGCCTACTTGGAAGAACCGAGAGTGCCCGCGCTGCAGCGGGAGCATCATTTGGAACAACCAGAGGCGCAGAAATGGGGCCAGCGCGTCAGCGGGACCAACATGGAAGAAAAAGAGAAAAACGAAAAACAATTTCCCGGAAATCCTGAGTGTAACGAAAACAGTTCTCGGAGGGGGGCCGGACACCTTCCGATTGTCATCAGGGGAGAGAGGAGAGAGTAGTATACACATTGTATACCTGTAGATGCCTCCTAGGTTCAATCCACGCAAATGGGGTGGGAGTACCGCGCTGCATCGCCGATGCATTGCTGATTCATTGGCGATGGCCGTCGATGCGTTGGCGAGGCATTGGCGATGCGGCGCGACTCTCCGACCCCACCTGCTCCGACCCCACCTGGGAGGCCCAGGGGAAGGCGGAGAAGGGGAAGGGGTCTCGGCGGATCAGGGCCTGCTGGGGCCGAGGCATCTGCTGCTGCATCATCTGCCCCTGGGACTGGTCGCCCTGCCCCTGCACGGGGGGGGTGGGTCGCGCTCCGCCCGCCGCTCCGCTGCCGCTGCTGCTCTCTCACGCCCTCGTCCTCCTGCTCGTCCTACTCTTCACTGTATTCGTCGTCGTCCTCTCCCTCCTCCTCCTCCTCCTCCTCCTCCTCCTCCTCCACCGTTTCTTTTCCTTGAAAATAACGCCTCCCTATCGCACCCCGAAGCCGGTCGAAAGAGCGGGCCGGGCGTTTCGCCTGAGACTTCCTCACCACTTGTTGCGGCTCTCGCTTGAGCGCCGCGCACACTCATCTTACAAAATGCAAGAGTTTCGCGGCTTGAGGGCGAGTGGTTTTCAACATGTGGCTCTCGCCTTGGCGCCGCGCACATTCGATTCAGAGACCTGCAGGAGCTTAGCGGATCGAGGGCGACTTGCCTTCGCGCTGCGCCCACTTGTCTTAAAACATTGCAGGAGCTTGGCAGGGTTTCACGGATTGAGGGTGGTTCCCTTTCAACATGCGGCTCTAACCTTCGCGCCGCGCGCATTCATTCCAAAAGTTCGCGACGGTTGAATTACCTCTCAAGGTTGACGTACCAGAGAACGTGTGTTGGACTGACTCATGATTGGAATCATGATTGTCAGGGCGCAACAGTTACGTTGATTCGCTTGTTGATATCCCAGGAGTGGTGGTCTCGCACGATTCAAGATCGCCACGACCTCACAATCAGGAAAACTCGTGGCGCTGGAATCCTGAGAATGGTATTCGGGCACGCTTCAAGGTTTTAGCACGGTTGCCCCCCACCAGGGCAATTTCCCTAGTGAAAGTGAACCCTTGTAGGGGCCTGTGAAGAGGGAGCTTGGACATCGTTGAAGACTCTTAGATTTTCACTGGTCGTCCTCATCCTCCTCCTCTCTCGCTTTCCTCCGCTCCCTCCTCAGTGCTAAGATTTGCCCACGACGGTCGAAGACAGATGTGCCCGCTTTTTGAACGCTTTGAATCCTCCTCCTCTTTCTCGTCTTCCTCCTCCTGTCGTTGTTGCTGCTGGCATCGGTTTTGATACTCAAGCGCTGCGCCCCCCCCCAAGCGGCAGTTGCCGCCCGGGGAGGCTGATCAAACTAGAGCCTGCAAATGCAAAAGTAGGGAAGCCACTCAGGCGAAGAGGATCCCCCAGGGGCGGGATAGCTATGTTCCCCGTGCAAGCCAGGAGGGAGATGGTACGACGAAACAGCGGGGACGCAACTGCGACTAATCATCTGAGCTTCTCTCTTGCTCTCTCTTTCGCTTTTCCCCCCTCCTGAGCCAATATGGGCTTCCTCCCTCCCCCTGTCCCCTGCCGTCGCAGGGAGAAGGGAGGAAGGGGGTGGTGGTGAAAGGAGGGCGAGGGAGAGGTCTTGCCCCAGGGAAGCCGAAGAAAGGAGGGAAACCGATATCTCCCAGATCAGAGGGCGAGATGTCCTGCTGGGGCCCCAAGCGAAATCCCACGGATGACCCCGACACCGAGCCCCGATGCAGCTGAGTGCGCCCCGTTGCGATGGCTCGGCGAGCCTTCTGCGCGAGGCAGGAGAATGCCCCGCCTGCGAGGGCCCCCGCTGTCGCCACCACGACGGCAGGAGGCCGGGGGATGCCACACGGGCGGGCCGCTGTGCCTGAGGCCCCAGAGAGGTCTGGTAAGCGCGCCGCCTGGTGAGGCAAAAGTGATCTGGGGTGCGCGGACGGTTTTGGAAAACGGGCCGTTCTGCAAAACAAATGTCTCGAATCGTGTTGTTCCTGTCGTACTTGAGGACCACATCCCGGCAATGATGTCGAGCACCCGGAAAATTGTCGAAACAGTGTCGAAACAGTGTCGGGCGAGTGTCTCCTGGGGCCCGACACGTGAAAACCATCGAGTTTCGATACTTCTCTGGTGCTCGAGATTCTTTCTGGTGATCAAAGCTAAAGTAAGTCGGAACATCATGAGTCTCGAGGCTCCTGGGCCCCAGAGCCGTCTGGTGACCGTCTGGGATTTCGAGATCATCGGACCAGTCGGTCCGCTCCAAACAACCTGAAGTCGAACACACAACAGGAGAATTAGGTCGGGCCTGTCCCCTACAGGCCGATTTTCGAAGAGAAATGAAAACTATGTTCAAAATACCCGAAATGGTCAAAATAGTTGTTTGTTCTCTTTTGTGTTGTTTCTTCTTTTTCTTTTTTTGATAGAAAAAACATCCCTGACTATTTTTTGCTATTTTGGAATACTCCCCCTGTAGAGGGACACGCCCGACCCAACAAGAGAAGCAGGGGCCACGTCGGGGGGGCGCCGGCCCCTGCGCGGGGGCACGCCCGAGCGAAACACACATTGCACCGGACGGCGCTCGGACAGCGGATCTGTATACCAAAGCTATTATTTATTCTACGAGGGAAAGGGGTCTTCCCAGGACGGAGGTGGGAAGGAGGAGGAAGGAGGAACGAGGAGGGGGGAGGAGGGGAGAAGGGACGGGAGGAGGGAAGAGAGAGGAGGACCAATCAGGGAGGAGGAGGGTAGGGAGGAAGAAAGGGGAGGAGGAGGACGAAGATGAAAAGGAGGATGAGGAGGAGGAGGAGGAGGAGGAGGAGGAGGAGGAGGAGGAGGAGTGGAGTGGATCCCATGGCGATGCCAGTTCGTGGACCACATTAAAGAAAGGACCTTAGCTGCCGACTGTTCAGTTAGGCCTTGCTCAGGACCTTGGGGTTAAGCCCATTCTTGATGCGATCTAAATATACTCTGCCCGTAGGGGTGACGGTGGAGCATGGCTTCCCAAGGGACCGAAGCTGCTTGTAAACTATCCCCCCGCACCGCCCACAGAACCAAATCTTCAAACCGTGTGATAATTCAAGAGATGAGTGGAGTGGAGCCAGCCCCCCGCAACATGAATTCGGGCACCGACACACGGGGACAAAATGGTGCCATCAACATTCACGAGGCGAGGGCACGGGGCGTGCACCCATTCACGAGCCGCGGCCATGGAGGCCGAGCCGTAGCATTTTAAACACCTAAGTCTGGTTTCGTCGAGATTGCGCTGGGACAAAAGCTGGGCGAGGGCAGCAGCAGGAGAAGGGGAGGGGGAGGGAGGCGGAGGGGGGACCACGTCCCCCCCGCTCACTTTTCTCTTCTGCCTCCTGCAGGCCTCGAGCTCCGCCTCGGACGCGGGGCAGTCCAGCGTGGCCCGCAGCAGCCGTAGTCGAACACGTCGTGCTCGATCCTCGTGTCGCTGTACTCTGTGGCGGTCTGCTTCTGGGATCCTGCAGCCCTCGGCTGCATGGTCGGCCACCTCGCCCGCCACTGTGTTGGCAAGGACTAGGCTTCGGACAGCCTTGGCATTCACGATATCCTGTGCCGTCTGGTGGCTGCGTGTGCGAGCAAAAGTGATATGCAGCTCGGATCCCTGGTCTTGAGGAGGTCCGCCAGCGTCACCCACAGGCCCCCGTCATCACCATGGGGGCTCTCGTACCTCCTCTCATACCAGGCTTGCACCAGTGGTTCGTAGTCCGCGATGTACGCGAGGTGGCCTGTCGTGGCCCAGGTGGCTAACATAAGAAAAAAACATGAATTTCTCCTTGAGCCACGACCTGCCGCGGTCCAGGAAGGGCCGCAATGGTGGAACATACTTGGGCATTGGGTTCGAGGGAGTCGAACTTGGCGAAGGCGAGGCCCACTCTCCTGATTCTTGAAGTGTTGGGGTCTGGGCCCCCAGGCGCATCACCTGCAATAGTAATCGGCCGTGTGGCCGTGCCATGTCCCACGCGTCCGCTCGCCATGTCGTTAATGCCAGAGACATCCCATTGCTCCTGAGCAACTGGTGGTGGCACATGTGTCCGCGGCTCAGGAATGATGCCCCCCAACCAAAACGCTTCACATAAATTCATCTGCGTGGGTGCCTCGCGGACCAGATCCTCAGAATCATGGTAGGCCTTGGAGCCTCGGTTGGCCTCGCATGTCCAATGCCGATGCTCCAGAGCTTCTGGTCCAGCACGGCATCGGTCACATTCAGCTCCTCCTGCAAAGTTCTTCACCATCTACAGCTTCCTTGTCCTGGGCCAGCAGCCCGCCGCCGCCGCCATGGGCATGGTCTCCGCCAGCCTCTTGCCGTGCTCAACTTGGCTCAGGTGGCCGATGAGACGGCGGTAGGACTCGTTGTCGGCGCCCTGCCCGAGCCCGCTGCCGCAGTAGTGGTTGCTCGCCTGCTCCCACACCATGAGGCATGCCGCCTGCTGCGCAGCAGCAAGGATACCTCGGTGGGAGTCGCGAACTCTGCAGCCTGTGAAGATGTCGCCTGGGAGTTGCCACTCCTCATACGTGTTGTCCCCCGTCGGAAACGCCCATGTAGAAGCTGACGTTGGTGTCCAGCCCAGTCGTATCAAATTGAAAGCTAACTGCTGGGATCGGGCCTCGCGCATTACGCGCCTAATCGGCAGGTGGTAGCGAGGTCATCTTCTCAACTCTCGTGCTCCAGACTCGATGTACCGACGGTCTGATGCGTGCGTGTGCCTGCTGGAGCCACATTTCGATGCATTTGGTGGGCATTGTGATGGCTGGGTCGGCCCCGTGGACTCTCACGTCCAGGACCGTCGCCAAGCACCGCCCACGGCTGTAGGAGGAGCACGCTCGTCCTAGCCCGCGCCTCGCCGCCGTGAGCCTGTGCCCGAACGCGCCGTGCACTTGGTGGCCATACAGGCCAGCGGGGATGCCGCCTTGTTTCTGCAACTTCGCCATGACAGTGCACTGCCTAGACGCCTTGGTGAAGCGTCTGATCTTTTTGCTCATGGCGAGATGCTTGGCCTCACGCGTAGTGCGGTTAGCTCTGGCATGGCGGCCGCAGCCGAAGTCCATGCCAAGGTACGTGGCCTGCCCGCACTGGCTGCGCATTGTAGCCAGCCTTCCTCGCAGCCTTCGCAATAACCAGCGCGTCTTGATGAGTAGTGCGCATCGCGGTCGATTTCGCTGCAACTTTCAATTTGCAGTTACCGAATTCACGGCAGGTGTCGAGCAGGCATTTGATCATGAGTTCTCGGACTTCCCGTCGCGCACCTTTCACCACCTGTGAGAGGTCGTCCACCCACAGCCTGTGCCCCATAAGGACGTTGGCCGTCGTGACCGTCTGCATCACATAGTTCACGATGATCTTCGCGAACCTGGTGACCGAGCGAAGGCCTTGAACCACGCTCTGGCTGGGGTCGAACGGGGCGCTGGCAGCTCCTAGCTGCCCCTGCGCGCGTGGGGCGATACGCTGTAATAGTTCCAGAAAAAATGAATAGCTGGTAGAAACTTGAGGCGCAGCGCTGCTGCCACTAAAGGGGCCCATGGTATAGAATCATACAAGGCTTCGATATCCAACATTCCATGTCCATATTGAGTGCCCATATTGTGGGCGATCTCGTCATCAATTGCACGGGGGAGCGCCTCCCGGAGGCATGCTTTTCCTTTTACCGCAGCATCCCAGTGTTGTGCCGTAGTTTGTGACCAAACTTGGACTTCGCTCTCTCTGATTTCAGACCATATTCGGCCTAACATTGGTACTAAACCTCTTCCACGATCGGATCCTGATTTCTTTGGAGTGAGCTTGACAACTACCAAGGCCGTTTGGATGGGCCAAGCCAATACCGCCTCCACTGCTTCAAATAGCGAAACCAACTCTGCAACCCCAGCCGCAGGCAACCTTTGAATATCTACTGGGGTGAGGCGATCTATGCCTAGCCCAGCTTTTGCTTTCATCATCCCTGCCGCCTTGAGTACCATGTCCGCCGCGATGGGAGGCAGGGTTCCGATTCTGCAGCCACACGTATCTGACGAAACAGCTCTCTGGTTGCCGAAATGTCAGGAGGGGACGGCGCCCACAGCTTCTGGAAATCCTTGCCTTTCTTGTCCATGATGTCCCGTGGATGGAACAATACTGCTCCGCCCGAAACTATTTCCAAGGCTGGGAGCGGCGTGGGCTTGAGTGCCTTGTGCAAGACACCGACTGCATCCTTCTCTGCAGCCCAACTCCGAAACTCCTGCAGTGATGACGCCAACGCTTGCCTCTGGACTCGTTGTGAGACCTTCTTGGCACTCGCCTCGAACGGCTGTAACATTGGAGCCGCTTGGCATCCCTGGCCGTTGAGTAGTTGGAGCCACTCGTGCCAGGGTGGATATCGGCCTGCACGAAGCGGCTGATGTACACCCTCAGGGCGGTCACCGCAGAGTTTGAGGCAGGCCTGACGGTATTGATGTACCTGGTGCGCACCATTGCTCCGAACTTCGTGTCGCGCCAGACCTGCGATGACCGTGTGAACTCGTGTCCACCACTGGGCCTTCTGATCACGTAAGTGTAACTGGCGTCTGTGCGACGCCTCGCGAACCTGCTTGACCACAAAACTCGGTCCATGGGTTCGACTGAGCCCCGACATTGCAACACCATGGTGCGTGTTAACAGCAGAGGGAGGAGGTGGGAGGAGGAGAGAAGAGTGAGGACGGGGAGCATGAGGACACACAAGCAAAGTGTCAAGATCGGAAGCTCGAGCACCACAGCGGGCCCGGCCACCTCCCTAACTCCTCCCATAGCATGTGGTTGCTCGACCGCCATAGCGGGCCTAGCCATCTCCCGAAAGTCCTCCCATAATGCAAGGTTGGTCGAACGCCACAGCGGGCCCGGCCAACTCCCGCATCTCCTCCCATCATATGGCACGCCCAAAGCCGAAGATAGCGCTACATGTATGCGCTCATCTGAACGACACATCGCTTCTGACATTTGGGGCTCAAGAGGAAAATCTTTCGGCCTCTGCAAATATGGTTTCGCATATTTTTTGACATTCTTCCTGTAGAATGGCATGCCCGACTTAACCCTCCGTAGCGCGCGGAGCGCGCCATGGGCGGCGCTGGGAGCGCCGCCAGGGCTGGCCCAACGCAAAGCAAAGAAATCCGCGCACAGCTCCGAAATGTTCTGTTTATGCAGTCTTCTTCTTCGGCGGAAACATCCCGTCGTTAATATTGTCACGACGCGAGGATGCCGCGGAGTCCCACTTGATGATCCTCAGAACGTGTGTTAGCGCTACCCTTCAATACGACGCCGGGGCTGGGTGCCATCAGCGGAGCCGAACAGGATAAACACACATGTGGTCCCCTCCGTTGCGAAAAATCGCCCAACGGGTCGCTCACTTTGCCAGTATCGACCTGCATGCCAAGGATTCGATGCACAGGAGCCCCTGTGCAAAAAACAGGTGAGGTGGAGGAGGAGGAGGAGGAGGGGAGGAGGAGGCGAGGAGGAGGAGGAGGAGGAGAAGGGTGAGGGTGAGGGTGAGGGGGGGAGGAGGAGGAGGAGGAGGAGGAGGAGGAGGAGAGGGATAAGGAGAAGGAGGAGGAGAAGGGTGAGGGTGAGGGTGAGGGGGGAAGGAGGAGGAGGAGGAGGGAGGGAGGAGGAGGAGGAGAGGAGGAGGAGAAGGAAGGAGGAGGAGGAGGAGGAGGAGGAGGAGGAGGAGAAGGAGAAGGATGAGGAGGAGGAGGAGGAGGAGAAGGAGGGGAGGGGGAGGAGGAGGGGGAGGATGAGGAGGAGGAGGAGTAGCAGGAGCAGGAGGAGGAGGAGGGGGAGGAAGAGGTAGAACGGGATGAACACACCTTGGGCTACCACACGCCTCGAGGATCGACGACCCCCCCCCGCCTGCGGAGGTCCTGCCATGCAGCCACCCTGGGGCATGAAGCCCCCCTGCGGAAAGCAGCCGCCCTGCCCGGGCGCCACCATCACGTACATCATCTGCTGCTGCTGGCCCTGCGGGCCCTGAGGGGAGGAAGGCCACGGGGCGTTGCTCAGGGTGTGTGTTGTGTGTTGTGTGCTGTGTGGTATATGTTGTGTGTTGTGTGTTGTGTGTTGTGCGTTGTGTGTTGTGTGTTGTGTGTTGCGTTGTGCGATGGGCGTTGTGCGTTGTGCGTTGTGCGTGGTGCGTTGTGCATTGTGCATTGTGCATTGTGCATTGTGCATTGTGCGTGTGCGTGTGCTTGTGCGTGTGCGTGTTGTGTGTTGTTTGTTTGTTTGTTTGTTTGTTTGTCTGTCTGTCTGTCTGTCTGTCTGTCTGTCTGTCTGTCTGTCTGTTTGTTTGTTTGTTTGTTTGTTTGTTTGTGTGTTTGTCTTCGGGCCCCCAAGGCGCAGGAGAGGTGCACTTCTCGTCGCCCTGCCTTGGATCGCCCCCCCCATCACGCAACGCCCGAGGCCAGCAGGAGCCCCCAGATCCCGGGCGTTGCCCTTCTCTCGCGCAGGGCGCCTGCGCCAGGCCGATCCAGCTCGAAGAGAGCTGCCGCGGCAAGATGGGGGTGCAGGGTTTCTTCCGGTCGTGACTTCTCGCGACGTTGCAACTTGTTCGCAACATCGGATTTCAGGGAGGGCCGGGAGGAAGGGGAGGGGAGGGGGGAGGAGGAATGGAGGAGGAAGGCAGGAGAATGCGACGGCTGTCTCGGTTCCTGCGGGTTTCCGGCGTCCGGAGGGTCTGGGAGATTCTAGACGGCACGAGGAAGTTGGAAGCGGCCAGGGGGGTCTGAACTGTTTGGGGCCCTAGAAAATCGGTCGGCGGATGGGCCTAAATCCATTCAAAATCGGCCCCCTGACCCCTCGGAGACTCCATTTGATGAAACTTCAGCGCGCAGGGGAGAGGACCTGGCTGAGCATGGGGAGTTGGAGGAGGGCGGCGCGACCGAGGAGGGGAAGGGGGAGGAGGAGGAGGAGGAGGAGGAGGAGGAGGAGGAGGAGGAGGAGGAGGAGGAGGAGGAGGAGGAGGAGGAGGGAGGAGGGATGCGGAAGAAGGATAGAGGGAGGAGGTGGGGGAAGGAGGGAGGAGGAAGAGGGAGACGACGCGGATGATGATGAGAAGGCCGAGGGCCGAGGCGCCTCCGAGCCGTTCTTGACGGCCCAGGGGCCCAAAGGCGCGGCCCCCAGAGGCAGAAGAGGACAACAACAACAACAACAACACCAACAACAACAGCAACAGCAACAGCAACAGCAACAACTGCAACAACAGCAACAGCAGCAACAACAACAACATCAGCAACAACATCAGCAACAACAACAACACCATCAGCAACAACAACAGCAACACCAACAACAACCACAACAACAACAGCAGCAGCAACAACAACAACACCAACAACAACCACAACAACCACAACAGCAACACCAACAACAACCACAACAACAACAACAACAATCACTTTACCCGAACGCTCAGTGTTCTCACCAGTGCCAGGGTTTTCATGCGACGCCAGCCAATACCCCCACTTTGTGGGGGGGCAGTGCAAGCTCTACCAAATATCCACACGACTCTTCGCCACCACCCACACCCAGCTTCCCGCCCTATGACGTTCGGACACTTCACTTCGTGGCCTGCGGACGACCGTGGCTACTACACTGGCGTGGAGTACACACCCACAGAAGTTGTTAAGCCTACGTTCGTACACCCACAGAAGTTGTTAAGCCTTGTTAACCCACAGAAGTTGTTAAGCCTTCCACAGAACATCTGTTGCATATGATGCATATGGTACATGATACACATGATACACATGATACGTACTCACAAGATAGTTGATCACATCTTTAGGGCAAATTCCTGAGGGATGTGGGAATACACAAGAGAGAGAGGATATGGTTGTCCCGATGGTTGTCTCGATGGTTGTCCCGATGGTTGTCCTGATGGTTGTGGTTGTCCCGATCGTTGTCCCGATGATTGTCCCGATGGTTGTCCTGATGGTTGTGCTTGTCCCGATCGTTGTCCCGATGACTGCCCCGATGATTGTCCCGATGGTTGTCCCGATGGTTGTTCCGATGGTTGTCCCGATGGTTGTCCCGAGGTGCGCGATGCCGGATCCTCACGCCCCCTGGCAGGCGCGCGAACCCCGTTGCAAGAGCGTGCGAAAGTAGCTCGCGCGAGCTCATGTAACATAAATGTTGGAAAACCATTGGTTTTTTTTAGGATTCGGACAGCGCGCGCGGGTAGAAATTTTGAAAAGTCGTGCAGGTGTTTTTCGAGGACCTACGGTGCGATTCGTGTGATTTTATGATGCGCGGTGCTAAAATTCTTAAGAAGCCCAATGGTTTTTGGAGATTTCGGCGTGCGCGCGCGAAGAAAAAACGAATGTGTCCCGCATGGTATTATTTGACAGGGATGATGGCCCTGGCAGGTGCGCAACCGTTGTCGCAGAAGTTCGAAAAAGTTGCTCGCAAAAGCCCGTTTGACAGAAATGTTTAAAAAGTGTTGGGTTTCCTACGAATCCGCAAGAGCGCGCGGGATGAGATTTTGACATTTTTTGTTGAAAAACCATTGGTTTTTTGATGTTTTTATGTTAAAATCGCTGCGAACACTAAGGTTTTGGAAGGATTTCGTCTTGCGCGCGCGAATGTCCACTTTACCTTATTTTTTGCAAGGGATTCTTGAAATTTGATTATATTAGAACAAGAAATGTCATTTTATATTGTTTTTTGCAAGGGAAAGCGGATTACAACAAAACAACCGGATCCTGTACACACCCTCTTTTCTGAGGCTTCCTCACGAAAATGATGAAAATGTAGCTGCGGCCTAGGCGGCGCAGGGGGGGCGCGCACCAGGGGGCCCAACAATAATTATTCTTTAGAATAAATAATGTTCAACAACAACAACAACAACAACAACAACAACAATCACTTTACCCGAACGCTCAGTGTTCTCACCAGTGCCAGGGTTTTCATGCGACGCCAGCCAATACCCCCACTTTGTGGGGGGGCAGTGCAAGCTCTACCAAATATCCACACGACTCTTCGCCACCACCCACACCCAGCTTCCCGCCCTATGACGTTCGGACACTTCACTTCGTGGCCTGCGGACGACCGTGGCTACTACACTGGCGTGGAGTACACACCCACAGAAGTTGTTAAGCCTACGTTCGTACACCCACAGAAGTTCTTAAGCCTTGTTAACCGCAAGGGATTGTGGCCCCTGGCAGGCGCGCGAACCCCGTTGCAAGAGCGTGCGAAAGTAGCTCGCGCGAGCTCATGTAACATAAATGTTGGAAAACCATTGGTTTTTTTAGGATTCGGACAGCGCGCGCGGGTAGAAATTTTGAAAAGTCGTGCAGGTGTTTTTCGAGGACCTACGGTGCGATTCGTGTGATTTTATGATGCGCGGTGCTAAAATTCTTAAGAAGCCCAATGGTTTTTGGAGATTTCGGCGTGCGCGCGCGAAGAAAAAACGAATGTGTCCCGCATGGTATTATTTGACAGGGATGATGGCCCTGGCAGGTGCGCAACCGTTGTCGCAGAAGTTCGAAAAAGTTGCTCGCAAAAGCCCGTTTGACAGAAATGTTTAAAAAGTGTTGGGTTTCCTACGAATCCGCAAGAGCGCGCGGGATGAGATTTTGACATTTTTTTTGTTGAAAAACCATTGGTTTTTTGATGTTTTTATGTTAAAATCGCTCCGAACACTAAGCTTTTGGAAGGATTTCGTCTTGCGCGCGCGAATGTCCACTTTACCTTATTTTTTGCAAGGGATTCTTGAAATTTGATTATATTAGAACAAGAAATGTAATTTTATAGTGTTTTTTGCAAGGGAAAGCGGGGGGGAACAAAACAACCGGATCTTGATCACATCGAATTACCTGAGGCTTCCTCACGAAAATGATGAAAATGTAGCTGCGGCCTAGGCGGCGCAGGGGGGCCGTGCACCAGGGGCCCCAACAATAATTATTCTTTAGAATTAATAATGTTCAACAACAACAACAATTACTAGCACGTGGGGACACTCCGTTCTCACCAGTGCCAGGGTTTTCATAGGAGGCGGGCAATACCCCCACTTTGTGGGGGGGCCGGTTCAAGCTCTACCAATTTCCAAACGACTCTTCGCCACCACCCACACCCAGCTTCCCGCCCTATGACGTTCGGACACCTCACTTCGTGGCCTGCGGACGACCTTGGCTACTACACTGGCGCATGGGTACAATGACTTGTTGTGGTAACATTTTCTGTAAGCTAGCTTAGTATACGACTTTTCCCCCTGCAATTGAAGATTCCGGCGTGCGCGCGCGAAGAAAAAACGAATGTGTCCCATATGGTATTATTTGACAGGGATGATGGCCCTGGCAGGCGCGCAACCGTTGTTGCAGAAGTTCGAAGCACGTGAAAAAGTTGCTCGCAAGAGCCCGTTTGACAGAAATGTTGAAAAAGTATTGGGTTTCCTAAGAAATCCGCAAGAGCGCGCGGGATGAATGTTTGAAGCTTTTTTTTGAAAAACCATTGGGTTTTTCATGTTTTTATGTTAAAATCGCTACGAAAACTAAGGTTTTGGAAGGATTTCATCTTGCGCGCGCGAGTGTGCACTTCGTCATTTTTTGCAAAGGATTCTTGAAGTTTGGTTATGTTAGAACAAGACATGTCATTTTATATTGTTTTTTGACAGGGAAAGCGGGCGTCAACAAAACAACCGGATCCGGACTCCCCCGTTTTGCCTGAGACTTCCTCACGAAAATGATGAAAATGTGGCTGCGGCCTAGGCGCGGCGAGGGGGGCGTGCACCAGGGGGCCCAACAATAATTATTCTTTAAAAATAATAATATTCAACAACAACAACAGCAACAACAACAACAACAACAACACCAAGAACCTTCTCGAGCCAAGCACCTCGGACCGCGCCCCCCGTCCTGCTTTGGGCCTTCCTGCTCGACCCCGCGCCGTCTCCAGCAAGGAAGACGGGGGGAAGGGGGGAGGAGGAAGGGGGGGGAAGGGGGGGGAAGGGGGGGGGGAAGGGGGGGGGAAGGGGGGGAGAGGAAGGGGGGGAAGGGGGGGAGGAGGAAGGGGGAAGGGGGGAGGGGGAAGGGGGGAAGGGGGGAAGGGGGGAAAGGGGGGGGAGGGGAAGGGGGGGAAGGGGGGGAGAAGGGGAAGGGGGGAAGGGGGGGAAGGGGGGGGGGAAGGAGGGAAGGGCGTGGAGGACGGGGCCTGCTGCATCACCATCATCTGCTGCTGCGGGCCCGGCATCTTCGGCATCGCCCCCGCGTTCACCATGCCCATGCCGCACTGGCCTCCGCCCTGCCCGGGGGCCACCATCATCATCTGGCCCTGCTGCGGGCAGCCTGGGGGACTGCGAGATGCAGGTCCGCTGATCGCACGAAAACCTTACGCGTTCGACCGTGGAACCCCTGCTGCCCACCTGCCCTGGGCGGTCTTCGGCGGGCTTCCGGCGGTCTCCGGCGGCCTTCGCACGGCCTTCGGCGACCTCTGGCGGTCTTCGGCGCTTTCTGAAGCCCTCGGCGCAACAGCTAGACGGCTGCGTTCAACAAAGGGTCCATGATCGAATTCCCAGATGCGATCCGAGTAGGTGGGGTTGGGTGATCGCACCGCATCGCCGATGCATCGACGTCCCATGTAGAAGACCTGTAATGAGAGGAATGCAAGCTCCCTGATCGCACCAAAATCTGATCCGACCCGCTCGGACGGCGATCCGAGGGCCCCCGACCCAGAAAGAGAGGAGCGCGTTCGGCACTGCCGCCCGCAGCCTGCCATCATCATCTGCGGGGCGAAGCCGCCGGTTCCCTGCTGCTGCTGCTGGAGCTGCTGCGCGGGCTGCTGCGGCTGGTGCTGCTGGCCCTGCTGAGGCATGCAGCCGCCGCAGCCCTGGGCGGGGCCTGAGCCCATGTACATCTGCCCATACATCTGCGGCTGGTTGCCTCCCGCGTTCACGCCCTGGCCAGGCTGCGTCATAGGCTGCGCCTGCTGCATAGACTTGGCCCTCCAATCGTCGGCGGAAGGCTGTGCGCCTCTCGACTAAACGCAAGAGTGGCCCTGGGCAAGAGTGACCTCTGGTGCGCGGCTTTTTTGGGCGGCCGCGGGGGAACTAACCTTGAGCGCGCAAGACGCTTTCATCGCATCGCGCTCGGCGATCGGGGGGCCCCCTATGGGCCCGCACCAAAGGTCACTCTGGCGAAGGGTCACTCTTACGTGTAGTCTTTGGACGCCCGAAATGGGCACGGAAAGAATGGGTACAGTGCTCAACAGCAAGTGTTGTCCAACACCAACAGCGGCCGCTGTTGGGCGGGCGGCCTTGTGTCTCAAATGGACACAGGCCGGGCGGCGCGGACAGCGAGTCCTGTTCAAAATGAACAGGAACTGGTGTTGGGGATTGTACCCATTTTGTTCCGTGCCCATGTCGGGCGTCCAGGCAGTCGAGCCTCCGCTGTTCCCAGCGCCCGCGGGGTTCATGCCCGGGCCGTGGCCCTGGGGCCCCTGTGGCCGCTGCTGCTGCCAGCCGCCGGTGCAGGACCCGGCGCAGGGCCCTGTCCCCCCTGCCTTCTCGAGGAGCGGGGAGGCAGCCCCTGCCTCTGATGCCTCCTCATCCTCCTTCTCCTGCTCCTCCTCCTCCTCCTCCTCCTCCTCCCTCCTCCTCCTCCTCCTCATCCCTCCTCCTCCTCCTCCTGCTCCTGCTCCTCGCTCCTCCTCCTCCTCCTCCTCCTCCTCTCCTCCTCCTCCTCCTCCTCTCCCTCCTCCTCCTCCTCCTCCTCCTCCTCCTCCTTCTCCTCCTCCTCCTCCTCCTGCCTCTGACGAGTCATGCTCGGACACGACATGGAGCGGACTGCTGAAGGACAGAGGGCAGCAGCGGCGGAGTGCAGCCCAGGAGAGGAACGAGGCGTCACACAGAGGAGGACACCCTCGCCTGGCGAATCCCACCAGCCCTCTGGGCGCAGATGGTCTTGAGCGCTTTCTCTTCCAACCCCCTTGTTCCCCTTCGGGGAGGGGTTTATCCCTCCCCCTTACACCTTCCCCTGGACTTGGGACGGGGATGGTCGCGGGTAGTTGGAGCGTCCAAGATGGCTCCAAGAGGGCCTTAGAGAGTGCACGATGGCCTCCAAGATGGCGCTAGATAGCGCAAGATCGCTCAATGTGGCTTCCAAGAGGCCCCAAGACCGCTTCAGGACGGCTCCAAGTGGCCAAAGAGTTTCCCAAGGAGTCCTGCTCCTCCATGTCCTCCTGCTCCTCCTCCTCCTCCTTCTTCTCTTCCTATTCCTCCTCTCCGTATTCCTCCGTCATCCTCTCCCCTGTTGGGTTACGACGGCTTCCCAAGCCCGTTGTTCCTCTGTAAGCTGCCTCACTTCCCTGGTCAGTGGAACTCGCCTGGACATCGTCTCTTGATGGGCTGGTGGGGTTATACGAAACGTCTAGAATTTCTCAGGAGGGTGGCTGGACAGCACCCCCCCTCTTTCTTAAGAAAGGGTCTCGGTCGCATGATCGCCGCAGACCAACTCGCACCGCCATCTACAGCGCCGCATTCTGATAGCTGTGCAGCAATGCACCCTGGGAGGATCGGGAGGAAACTCAGAACAACTGGATCCCGCCCCCACCATGAGAGAGTGGTTTGGCATTATTTCTGGCAACGGTCGTTCCCCGGGGGGTGGGGGTGTTGGGGCCCCGTTGTAAAGGTCACGCTTGGGCGGGCTGGGGCGCATCCACGCCCCCCCACCGCCCCTACGCACGATCGGTACCGTCACCCCGGGTGGGGGGGAGGGCTCGGCCCGGGAAACGACCGCCACGCGCCAGCAGATGAAGAGACACCATCTCCATCGGTCCCGACGCCGCGTCCCACTGGCCATCGCTCGGACGTCCATTCCCTGTGTTTTTTTTCGGTTTCGTGCGTGATTTTTTCGCGAAATGATCAAGGATGTTCCTCGATGGTCCTCGCCGAAGGAAAAATGCACACGTCCGAGCGATGCCAAGCCCGGGGATTCGTGGCTGAACGGAGGGGGGGAAGGGAGATTGCGCTGTGCTGAATCCGGCCAGGCGCTCTCGACATCCGTCCCCGGGCCCCGCCAGGATACCATCCCGACATCGGGCCGCTCAGCTACAGCGACGAACCCAGAAACAACCACCCAAAACACATGCCAATACAACTGTCCCTTCGGAGGTCAGCGGGGAGGGTTGGGGGGGGGCAGCCCGCCCGAGACGCGTCTGGAGCCTCCGTGAGGCCGCTCGAGATCTGGGGGGGACCAGCGCCTCGCTCAAGGACTATGGTTCCAGGCGGTCCTCCTGCTCCACCGTGCCACCGAACAGCGTGGATGCACGGCGCAACCCGCCGTACAGGTCCCTCATGCGCTGTGCAGAGCTGTGCAGGCGTGAGCCCTGCATTCGCGTTTCGCGCGCAGCGCGCAGTTTGCAATGTCTCAGACAGGTGATGCGTACCTGCGCAGGGCAGAACATAACACAAGGCAATGAGGATGCACTGTGTCTTTGTGCGCGCACCCGTTTCGCTCTGGCGAGCGTCATGCAGGCGTGACGCGTGCCCAGGCACAAGCCACGCACCGCATGTGCCTCCATGCGTGCGCATAGTTGCCGATCGAATGTATGGTTATGCGACGGGCGGAGACCCAGTGGTCGCCGCCAGCGTCTTGGCCTGCATGGCAATGTCATCGCCAATCACGTTGGGCGCCAGCTTCGCATACCAAATGTCGTGGAGCAACGACGAGACCTGCCTTGACGGCACGTGCTGATTCGAACGCCGTGCCACGATCACCCCGGGCTCCGACTGTGCCTTCCACACCTCGCCGAACAGCAATGGAGTCCCGTGCCACCACCCGCCTCCGCTGCATGCTGTGATGCCGCGCTGCAGCTGATGACGCGCAGACAGGAGGCTTGTTGCCACTGCCTGCCTTCAGGTACGCGTCGACAATCGCGACATGGGTGGCTCAATTACAATCAGCCCGTATCACAAGGACGCACGAGAAGGATGCAAGAGCCTTGGAAGGCCATCTCGAAACGTTTCGAACGGGGCGCGGCCAACGAAAGTGGCCAAGGATGGACCGAGGAGGGAAGGATGCAGGGGTACCCTTGGGAAGGTCGCCCATCCTTACCATGCTGGTCGTCTGTACGCTGTCTTCCGTATTCGATTGATACGCCTCTTGATCCCTTGCGCAGTCTGCCTGCACTTCTTCACCGCGGCCTCGAGGGAAGACACACATGACGGACTTCCTATCCGGCAGCACTCCAAAACGAACTGAGCTAAACCAGTTTGATCCACACTGGCTCCAGAGCAGCGATATGAGCAGGAAAACATCGGGGGAGATGAAAGAGTAGGCTAGCAAAGGGCAGGGCCGAGCATCAGCTCACGTGTAGCTGGCTTTCCTGGGGCCTCCTGGCGCCGGGAGGCGCCCGTGTATCGAGCACTGGGCCCGGCGGCGGGGCGGAAACCAGCTACATGCAACAGATTTCGTACCCCCACCGTTTCCCTATCCGACCCTTCGGTCAGGCATGTCCCCTACGGGCCCATGGGACCGCCGACAAGAAGGCCCAAGGTGATGCTGAGGCTTCGGGCTGCACAGACGGCCCCCGCCCTGTAGTCCTGGCTGATCCCCCTGAGTAGTCTAGGGCGGTCTGAAGACCAACCCCGGGGCGAAGAGACGTCCCGTGGGCGCCGCCAGAGGCGGCGCTAAGGCGTTTTGAGACCGCCCTGGGCTACTCGGGGGGCTTGTTGAGGGCAGCTAGCACTACTCAGGGGGTCAGTTACAGTCAACCCGTATCAGAAGGACGCACGATAAGGATGCAAGGGCCTGGGAAGGCCATGCCGACACTTTGCGAGCGAGGCGCGGCCAGCGAACGCGGCCAAGAATGGTCCGAAGGGGAAGGATTCAAGGGCAACCTTGGAAGGCCGGTCGTCCTTATTGTGCTAGTTGACTGCACGACCAGCCATGACTTCCTGGGTGGGCTGCCTGCGCGCAGCCCGAAGCCTTGCCACGGGGTGACAACCGGCCCCGGGGAAGGGCTCGGGCTCTCCTGGGGTTCACACGCTGCCTGCCAGAAGTTCACCACGTCGCAGGTCTGGGAAGGAGAACGAGGAGGAAGCAGTGGCCCGCGGTACCCAAATCCCCGATGTTAGGAGTTGTTCACAACGCCGACCCCCAGAGGTCTGGACCCCTTCCCCGGGACCGGTTTCTCGTCCTGAGTTGTTTGTGGACGCTCCCGAGGCCGAGGGCCCCCGGAGGGCGGAAAATTGCGAACAACTTCCCGTCCTGATGTGTGTTCGCAACGCAAGGGGTCTGGGTACGGCCTCCTCGCCCCACCGACCAGCCTTATGGCCGGACCTCCCGCGCCCCTCCCACCTGGCGTCATCTGCGGCTGCGTCCCTGCCCTGGGCTGGCCGAGGGTCTGGATGTAGGGCGGCCCCTCGGGCGGATCCAGAAGTCTGTGCCCGTGCGCCCCGCGCCCCCCCTCCCCCGAGGAGAAGGAGGCCCATGGCGGCTCGCCAGGGAAGCCCCTGGAGACACCCCGAGGCCCTCGCGGAGGTCCTCTGCAAAGGTCTCCACGGGAGGGAGGAGGAGGCGGCAGAGGAGGAGGGGCGCCCTCCCGCTGGAACGCCAGAGGTGCGAGCGGGATGACCGGGGTCGGTGCCCGACAGCGAGTGTTGTCCAAAACGAGAGGGGGGTGGAGAAAGAGGAGCAGGAGGAGGAGGAGGAGGAGGAGGAGGAGGAGGAGGAGGAGGAGGAGGAGGGGGGAGGAGAAGGATCAGAAGAGGAGCTCATGGTTCAGGTTCTCCCGCTCTTCTGCATCTCAGCATGATCAATATAATCTCGATCCTCGGTCGTCGAGGTCGGCTAAAACCTTGTCCTCTACGGTTCTCGATACTAGAGCCCCATTTTGTCCCTGGCGGCCAGAGCCGACGGCCTGGGGACCGATCTGACAGGACTCGCCCCAGGGAGTGATCAGAGTTCTCATGCAAGGGGGGGTGGTCGTCGTCGTCGTCCTCCTCCTCCTCCTCCTTCTCCTCCTCCCCCTCCTGCTCGCGCACCAGAAGGCTGAACAAAAAGCAAAGTACCTCGAGCGCCAGAGGGGAACGGAGAAGGGGGAGGATACAGGATCGGGGGGGCAGAAACTATTTCTTCATCCGACGTCACGCCGAAGATCAGGGGGAGTGAGAGCATGGGGTGGGAGGTGCGGGAGAGTAGGAGGAAGGGGGAGGAGGAGGAGGAGAAGGAGGAGGCGGTGCAGCAAGAGAAGGAGGAAGAGGGAGTCCACCCCAGAAGATGAAGGCACGAGTTGTCTGACGGACATGACTTTCGGAACCTGGACCTTGGCGTTGGCCCACTCGGAGCCGGTGTTCATGGGTGACATCGGGTCCTTCGACTTCTGGAAGAAGGGCTCCAGCAGTTCCTTCAGATCCTTCCGCGACATCTCCCAGTTCTTCGTCTTCAAGACGGGGAACTGCTTCATGCTGATCACTGGCTGAGCTTTCGGCGTGGACACCGACGTCGTGGCCGCGGCGCCCCCAGAGGGCGTGAACTCCCCGGCTGCCGGGTTCATGGAGAAGGCCTTGGCCGCCGGGTTCAGCGACGAGGCCTTCGACATGTTCTTCGCCGCGTCGCCTCCGCTGTTGTTCGGGTAGCCTCCTTGGTCGCTCCCGTGGGGCGCCATGGCAAACGTCGGCTGGCCCTGCGACTGCCCTGCCGACCACGTGGCATCCCCACTGCCGGGCGCATTCCCAGGCGTCTTGGCCTTGGCCGCCTCCTTGCCCTTGATCTTCTCAAGGGACTGCTGAAATTCGGCCTTCAGGTTCATTGGGTCTTGGGGCGCTCGGGATCGGCTGTTGGTGTCCTTAAAACTCCTTCGCACGTGATCGACCTTGGGCAGGGTGGGCTCCTTGGAGGATCGAAACACGTTGGGCGAATTTCCACGTGCGATGGCTGTCTTCCCATGCCAGAGCTGGCATGGGAAGATAGCCATCGCACGTTGGAAATCAGGCATTTCCATGCCAGCCATCGCACATGGGGATCATGCAACGTTTGATTCCCACGTGTCACGTTGAATTCCTCGTAGGTATAAACTCGTCAGAAGTGGCTCCCGACTTGTGGTGCGGCGGTCGTCGCTGTCGCTTGTGCGTCAGCTCGCCCCACTATTGCGTCCCAGCTCCAAATGGGGTTCCGCACCTCAGCATTGCGAATCGCTAGTTGCTTGGTCACGACGTTGGTTCCAATGTTCGAATAGGGGAGGCAGGAGTGGGCTCGGACTTGCTCGGGTTGCTTATTTATATGCCTCGTTGGTGATCCTGATGTTTATGATTAGTATTGTTTTTATCACTATCATTCGTGTTACGGTTGTCAGTCATAGTTGTATTCTTGTTGATATACGTACACCCCTCTGCCACCAAACCGTCCGATGGCCGCCCAATCTGGGGCCTCACACCACTCAGGATTGACATGCTCGAGCTCCACACAGAAATCGCGTCGGACTCTTGCCAAATGCGTGGCAGGAGCGGGACGAGGCGCACATCCCTCGCGAAAGGCTGAAACAGCGCCGCACTCGGTTCTCTACAGAATTGAGCTACCGCTTGGGCGCGGCGCACACTTTTCGCACGCAACTTCGTCGACGCGCGACCACCCACACGCTTCGTGGCCCCATAGGGAGCTCCACCAAAGGCCCCAGTTGGAAGGGCCACATGGCGCCACCGCGCCCATGTCGGCACACCCCTCACGTGTTTCGTGGCCCCATAAGGGGCTCCACCAGAGGCCCCACACGCTGCGCGGCCGCATAGAACGTTCCACCGAAGGCCCCACTGGGAGGGGTCGCATGGCGCCACCGCGTGTGCATTTCGGTGCACCCCTCACGCGTTCCGTGGCCCCACAGGGCGCTCCAACGAAGGCCCCATGGGCGGGCCCGCATGGCGCCACCGCGCTCATGCCGGCACGCCGCTCGCACGCGATCCGTGGCCCCCACTCTTCCTTCGTTCCACCTGCCTCGCGATACTCGTAGCAAAGGTACCGATACCGCTCCCCCCCGGACCTCTTTCGGGGTGCGTTCTGACCAAAATTTCGAGGCGAATCCAGCGGTGGCGACGAGGGCCTCCCAGGAGACCCCAAAAAGGGGAAAACCGGCGGAGGGTAGAGGTATGGGTACCTCTTCCTCCTCTGCGTAGCTGCATGTGGTCGTGGCCTTCACTATGGGATAAGCTTGTGCCCCCGAGGCTCCAAGTTCAGCGCGTTGATGCGCTTCATCTCGGACATCATCCCTCGCTTCTGGCCCCCCAGGTCGTTCGCGAGCCTGCCGCCACCCCGCGGAGAGAGGAGGGCGCGAGCGACATCACGGGGCGGCGGGAGACGAGAGGGTGAGCAAGAGGATCGGACGGACAGGGTCAAGTCGGGCGTGCCCCCCATACAAGGGGATTTTGGATGAACAATAAAACATGCAAACAAAAATACTCCAGAATTGCCAAAAATGGTTAAAAACTAGTCCCCAGACAATTTTTACAATTTTTGTAAATTCCCCCTGTAGAAGGACAGGCCCGACTTGAGGATAGGGCAGGAACTCAGGGCGGGGGGGCGGGCAGGAGGGGGGAGCAAGAACACAACGTTAGGAGACAATACCTGGGAAGTCTTCGCCATAACGATTAGGGTGTATCATGCCGATTGAGGGGCCGATGGAATAAACCCTACAAGGCCGGAATCAACGGGGCAGAACTGGATTAGGCGAGATAAGGTCGGACTCTGCCGGATTAGGCCGGCTTTCGACCACGGATGTTAAGGAGAGGAGCTCTATACACCGACGCTTTTTCCGGCCCCACACTGAAATGCGCACAGGAAAGCGGATCCTGGTGTATGCATGTTTTGATGTTCCGCCCGGGAAATGAACCAAAAAGTATACACCACAGCACCCCGACCTCGTCCCCGACCCTCAAGAAGTTCTGGGATTGAAAAACAGCCCACAACTGGTAATGTATATGCTCCAGCTTCCGAGATGTGCCAGCGCCGGTGCTGAATCGAAGCCACCAAGAGCTGCATCCTACACATCAAATCGCACCTTGGACTGCGCAGCAGATTTTGCCGCCCCCGAGCCTGTTGCTGCCAGGCAGGCCCCCGCCAGGCTCCCGCGACGGCAGCTGGGGTATGGCGCCAGATGCCTTCTGAGGGGCCACAAGCTTCGCGACCACTGGCGCTATCCTCGACCTCCTACCTCCAGGAAGGCAATCGGACTTGCCATGCGTCCACCATGGGAGAGGGGGGGGGGGGAGATCGACCACTTCGTGGCGTGTTGGGGCGGTATCCCCTGTGGGATACGGGGAAGACGTCCAGCCCCTTCTGGCAAGAACAGCAGCATGTGACGGTGATGCAAGTCAGTGCCCCCGAAAAAGGAACAGATATTCCAACAGGGCGGAGATAATGAGCAGGAGGAGGAACGAGGAAGGGGCGGGATGAGGTGTTGGATGCTAGACGTCGACGAGCCCAAAACGGCGGCGGCATCGCCGTCATCGTTTTTTCGTGGCCAGGTTTGCCCAGATCAAAAATTACACACTTGACGGGGAGCATGCCGACCAAACCTCCTTCTCGAGAGAGGGGAGGAAATAATAGGTAAGGGGGTGGGGCAGGATGCGGAAATCATGAGATGAGGATGGAGGAAGAGGAGGAGGAGGAGGAGGAGGAGGAGGAGGAGGAGGAGGAGGAGGAGGAGGGGGAGGAGGAGGAGGAGGAGAAGGGACCTGGAATGCGACAGTGAGTCCAGTTTCCAAGATGCCCAGTTGACACCTCGAGGCACTGCTGGATGTGGGCCCAAATCGGTAAAACTGAAAGAGACGGCTTGGATAGGTCCCGTCAGAAAATTATCCTGGCTAAAGAAACAATCATATGCAATTTTGGGTAACGCAGTTGTAAATATTGTTCTCGGTGAAGCTTCCTATGGGGCTTCGAAACTTGCGAGGGGTGTGCCGACATGCTCATGCAGTTGGCGGGGAGCCGCATGTAATCCCTGCCACTGGGGCCACCAAACGTGTGATGGGGTGCGCCGACATGGACATGAAGCAACTATGGGAGGTCGCATGTGAACCCTGCCACTGGGGCCGCCGGTGGAGCTCCCTACGGGGGCACGAAGCGTGTGAAGGGTGTGTCGAAATGGACATGCGGGCGGGGAGCTGCACGTGAACCCTGCCTCTGAGGCCTTCGCTGGAGCTCCCCATGGGAAGGAGGAGGAGGAGGAGAAGGAGGAGGAGGAGGAGGAGGAGGATGAGAAGAAGGAGGAGGAGGAGGAGAGGAGGGGGGAGGGAGGAGGGAGGAGGAGGACGTCCTCCTCCGCGCGGGGGCCCTTTGGTGGCCGCTCCGCCCTGGACCTTGGCCGCTGGCTGCTCCCGCGGCTCCTCCCGCTTCACGATGGGCGCCGAGGCGCCGAAGGCTGCCTCCTGCGGGGCGGGGGGGCGGCCCTTGCTCACCGCCTCCGCCCGGCGCCCCCCCCGGGTTGCGCGCCAGAGGGCGCAGCGAAGACGCTCTCGATGCCATCGCCCCTCCGCGGCGCTCGTGGACCCTCCTGCTCCGGAGTCCCACATCTCCTCCTCCACCACCTTCTGCGTAACCCTTTTCCTCCTCATCCTACCACTCCCCCTCCACCCTCACTCTTCTGGTCGTCGTCCTCCTCCTCCTCCTCCTCCTCCTCCTCTCCTCCTCCTCCTCCTCCTCCTCCTCCTCCTTCTCCTCCTCCTCCTCCTCCTCCTCCTCCTCCTCCATTCCTTCTCGTTATAAGTAACTTCCCTTTTTCGAACCCTGGGGCCAGGGCGGGCCAGGCGTTTCGCTTGAGACTTTTCCACCATTGATGAACCTGGAGCTAAAAAATTGGCAACAGCTTCGCAGATGGAGGGCGGGTCTTTCTCAAAATTTGGCTCTCGTCTTAGCGCCGCGCGCATTCGATGTAAACATTTGCAAGAGCTATGTGGCTCTCACCTTGGCGCCGCGCACATTCGTCTTGAACATGTGCAAGAACTTCGCGGATTCAGGGCGGCTCCTTTACACAATGTGGCTCTCGCCTGAGCGCCGCGCACATGTGTTTTTAACATTTGCAAGAAGAGCTTCACGCATTGAGGGCGGTGTCTTTGAAACATGTGGCTCTCGCCCTAGCGCCGCGCACATTCGTTTTAAACATGTGCAAGAGAAGAGGTTCGCGGATTGCGGGCGGATGATTTTCAAAATGAGGCTCCTCGCCTTAGTGCCGCGCACACTCGTCCTAACAAGTTGCAGAAGCTTCACGGGCTCCCATGATCAGCAAGCCAGAATCATTTTGTTGTGGACGGATTCAGGCTTATGAGGGTGCACAAGCTATGTTGATTCACAGTATGGCGTTCTGGCACGGTTCAGGATCGTCAGGACGCAACAGTCAGGCTCATCCGTGGCGTTGGGATCCCGAGAACAATGTTTTTTGAGGGATGGAGCAAACGACCCTACCCTCGGTTACAAGTGCGTGATCTGCAAACCTCCTGTGAACCCCAAAGCCTAGAGCCGCCAGGACGCGGCACATCACGCAGGGTTTACCCTGTCAGCCCACACGAGTTTCAGCGCACAGCGTCTCGTAAACCAGGGTAGGGGCGTTTTTTATGCCCTTGAGTTTTGGCATGCTTCAGAGTCTTCAAGAAGTTGCTTTCCAACGGGGCAGTTCCCTCAATGGAAATGAACCGTTGCAGGGGCCGATTAAGAGGGAGCTTGGAGGGAGGGCTTATTCCAACATCGTTGAACCCTCGTAGGTTTACACTGGTCCTCCTCCTCCTCCTCCTCCCACTCCTCCTCCTCCTCCTCCTCCTCCTCCTCCTCCTCCTCCTCCTCCTCCTCCTCCCCTCTCCCTTTTTTGTACATCACTTCTCCCTGTCGCACTCCGGAACAATGTTTTAGGGCGGGCCGAACATTTCGCCTGAGACTTCCACGCCACTTATGACTCTGAAGCTTAAAAGTTGGCAACAGTTTCGCAGATGGGGGGCGGATCGTTTTCAAAATGTGACTCTCACCTTAGCGCGGCGTACAGTCGTTTCAAACATGTACAACAACTTGACGGATTGAGGGCGGGTCGTTTTCAGAATATGGCTCTCGCCTCAGCGCGGCGCACAATCGCTGTAAGCATGTGCGAGAGCTTCACGGATTGTGGGCGGGTCGTTTGCAAAATGTGGCTCTAGCCCTAACGCGGCACACATTCGTTTAAAAAACTGAGCGAGAGCTTCACGGATTGATAGCGGGTCGTTTTCGAAGTGTGGTTCTCGCTTTAGCGCGGCGCGCATTCGTTTCTTTTGCGTTGAACAATCAAAAGGTTTCAAATATTGAAGGCGGGTCGTTCTCAACATGTGGCTCTCGCTTTAGCGCCGCGCACATTCGTTAAACAAAATTTGCGAGAGCTTCACGGATTGAAGGCGGCTCCTCGCCTTCGCGCGGCGCATGCTCGCTTACAACATGTGCAAGAGTTTCACGGGTTCCCATCATCAACGTGCCAGAAGTGGCGCTTTGAAAGGATTCCCGATTTTGCGGGTGCAACACTTATGCTGATTCGCAATGTTCAAGTCCCAGGAATGGCGTTCTGGCACGATTCAATATGGTCAAGACGCAACAGTCAGGTTGATCCGTGGCGTGGGAATCCCGAGAATAATGTTTTGGCATGCCTCAGGGTCTTCGAACGGTTGTCTTCCAAAGAGGCAGTTCCCTCAATGGAAATGAACCGTTGCAGGGGTCGATTAAGAGGGAGTTTGGAGGGAGGATGTATTCCAACATCGTTGATGACTCTTGGGTTTACACTGGTCTTCCTCCTCCTCCTCCTCCTCCACCACCTCGTCCTCCTCCTCCTCCTCCCCTCCTCCTGCTCCTCCTCCTCCTCCTCCCTTCTCCTGTTCAACATCTGTCTGCTCCGCCTCCTCCTCCTCCTCCTCCTCCTCCTCCTCCTCCTCCTCCTCCTCCTCCCTCAGTGCCATCCATAAAAGACCGCAACTCGGCACCACCACTACCATCGGGAGGAATTCCTTCCGGTGGTGTGGTCACCCTGTTCTGCGGCCTCTCGCTAGAGACATCTTCAGTCCCCAGCTCGGGGAAGCATCGTTACCTGCCTCGCTGAAGGTGGCCCGGTGGTGGTGGTATCGCTTCTCTCCTAACGAACTCAAGCAGATCTCGGGGCACGTGATTCTCCTTCCTTCTCGTTGTCCTGATCATCTTCCTCCTCGATGCTCGACGCCGCGGGTCGGTTCGTCGTGATGGCAGAGGCCCTCGCCTCTTCTCCCTCAGAAATGGCCCCAGAGGGCGAACACGAACCGACAATTCGAGCTCTCCGCCCCAAGAGGCTCAGAAGGCCCCCAGAGGGCCAAAAGAGGCCCTCACGAGGCCCCAAAGAGGGCCCCGAGAGGCAACAATGATTACCCGTACCCTTTTCCATTCAGGTTCTCGCCTTTTCGAGCGTCCGACGCTCCAAGACGGCCCAAGAGGCCCCCAAAACACCCGCGAGACGGCGCAGGAGGCCTACAAGAGAGCTCCACGACGGCCCAACAGAGCTCCACGACGGCCCCAAGAGGCGCCTAAGACTCTGCCGCGAAGACGTGGACGAGAACGAGGAGGAAGAGGAGGTGGAGGAGGAGGATTGACACTGGCCAGAAGAAGCCGAAAGGAGCCGCAGTGGAAAGCAGGCAACCGCTCCGCAAACCAGCAACCAAAAGCCCTATCCGAATGCGTCGTCTGGTGCGTGTGGACAACCCCCGTTGCAGAATTTGGATGTGATGGGGAGACCAAGAGGTACCGCTACCGCTGCTCCCTGGGCCTCTCCAGGGGTGCGCTCTGACCCGAGTTCCGAGGCGAATCCGGCAGTGGCGACGAGGGCCTCCGAGGAGGTCACTCTGACTCATATCGAGGGGGAGGAGGAGGAGGAGGAGGAGGAGGAGGAGGAGGAGGAGGAGGAGGAGGAGGAGGCGGAGGCGAAGGCGGAGGAGGAGCAGGGGGAGGAAGAGGAGGAGGAGGAGGAGAAGGAGGAGGAGGAGGAGGAGGAGGAGGCCGAGGCGGAGGAGGAGGCGGAGGAGGAGGCGGAGCAGAAGGAGGAGGAGGAGGAGGAGGAGCAGGAAAAAGTGGAGAAGGACGAGGGGGGTAGCAAATCGGCTCACGTGGCCGATATTCCTGGCACCTCTGGGCGCCGGGAGGCGCCAGTGGTATCGAGGGGGGGGCTCCGGGCGGCGGCCGCCGAGGCCATGCCCGCGGTGGCTCACGCAGCGTGAGACAGCCGCTGAATGAACGAGCTCGAGGTGGCCACCCCTCCTCATCCCCCGCTCCTCGTCCTGCTGCCCCTCCTGCCCCCTGCTCTTCCTGCCTCCTCCTTCTGGTCGGTGCGTGCCGAGGCCATGCTGCCTTAGCAGAGCTCGGCTCGTGGCCGTGCATAGCACCTGGAGGCTGGCAACACACACGGCTGGATTCACGAGCGGAACATATGTATGCCACGCGCTGGATACACATGCGACTGCCTGGCGTACCAAACCATACGAATACCAAACGCCTGCGAAACATCGGCCACGTATATGTCCAACTCTCGCCCAAACCAATATGACAGAGAATACTGCATCCAGCTTCCGGGTAAAATGGGGACTGTGTAGCCGCTTCTCAGAATCCGTTACGCAAGATCTCATTCGTTGGTTCGCTTCGCCCGTCCTTCATTGTACATCGTCCTGGGAATGCAAGAGCTCATGCCGAATAGAGGCCTCAACATGTGTATTATCCCGCTTTCCTACCTGCTCCTCCACTTCCACCTCCTCCGCATATTTTTGGCGGCGCGCACAAGGGGGGGGGGAGGGGGGAGGGCTTCTTAGAAGCAGGCTGCCTCTTAGAAGGCGCCGGTCTTACACCTATAGATAAGGCCCGCTCCTTCTGAGAAGCAGGGGTGCTTCTAAGAAGCCCCCCCCCTCCCCCCCCGCCCGCTGCGGGAGGAGGAGTAGGGGGGAAGAGGAGGAGGAGCAGGGGTAGGACGAGCACCTCACGGAGAGGCCACGGTGGAGGCAGGGCGGCCCCGCCGCACGTGCTCCATTCGGTTGGCCGCGGGTGCCGCGCGCCGTCGGAGCTGCTGCTCCGCCGCCGGACGTCTGGTCAGAGACTTGGCGCGTCGCGCTCCTAAGCTGCTCTGCGCGTGGCTGAATTTGACTGCTCGTCGTGTCCTCTCCCCCTCCCCGCGAGATCGGAGCACCTCTCTCTTTCGTCCCGAGGGGCCTGCGCCCCTGCCGGGCATCCCACGGGCCAGGCGACAGAGGAGGGGAGGAGGAGGAGGGAGGAGGAGGAGAGGAGGAGGAGGAGGAGGAGGAGGAGGAGGAGGAGGAAGGAGGAGGAGGAGGAGGAGGAGGAGGGGGGGGGGAGGAGGAGGGGGGAGAGAGGGAGGGAGGAGAGGGAGGAGGGGAGAAGGAGGGGAGGCAAAGGAGCCAGCGGAGAGGAAGAGGGCCAGAAGAGTCAGGAGGTAGGAGTGGGAGAGAAGAGGAAAACAGGAACGAGGACGAGGAGGACCAGCAGGACGAGGAGCAGGCGAAAGTTGAGGAGGATGACGAGTACGAGGATGATGAGGAGGATGACGGCGGAGGCGGCGGAGGCGGAGGAGGTCGGATGGAGGAGGGAGGGTGGAAGATGGAAGACGGAAAAGGAAGTGGATTCGGCCGAGGCGAAGGGAGGATGATGTGGACCAGCAGCAACGCGATCAGCAGCAAGAGCAGAACGAAGCACGAGTAGCAAGTGCTGTACAATGAACACGTGGATCTGACAAGACCATACAGACGGATGATGGGGAGGCTCCTCCTCCTCCTCCTCCTCCTCCTCCTCCTCCTCCTCCTCCTCCTCCTCCTCCTCTCCTCCTCTTTCTCCTCCTCCTCCTCCTCCTGGTCCTTTTCCTCCTCCTCCTCCTCCTCCTCCTCCTCCTCTTTCTCCTCCTCCTCCTCCTCCTCTTCCTCCTCCTCCTCCTCCTGCTCCTCTTCTTTCTCCTCCTCCTCCTCCTCCTCCTTCTCCTCCTTCTGCTCCTCTTCCTGCTCCTCCTCCTCCGCCCGAAACGAGAATAACGTTGAGGATGGTGGAGAAGCGGCAGCAGCACGCAACATTGGCAGAAGGAGGTGGAGGAGGTGGAGGACGAGGACGAGGACGAGGACGAGGGAGAGGAGGCATAAGTGGAGGCGGGGAAGGAAAAAGGACGGGAAAGAGCAGGAAGGAGGGCAACGAGGATGGAGGAGGACGACGGCGAGAACGAGAAAGCGCAGGAAGGATGCAGGAGGCGACGAGGAGAGAGAAGGGCAGGACTGCGAGCAGAAGAAGCATGGCTATAGCATAATCGAGCTTGGGATTGATCCGCCACCGTGCCTCTAGGCACGGAGTGGGCGTGTCCCCAGGTCCTCTGCCTCATCCCCAGAGCCTCAGTCCTGAGGAGTCTTTAAAGACACCGGAGCCCAAGTTGCCAAATCTCTCGGGGCTTGCCGCCGTTCCTCCGGGGCCCGCCACGTTTCCCCGCGTGACATGTTCGGGCCCACGAGGCCTTCAAGACGGGCCAAGAGCCCCAAGAGACCCCCGAGACGGCCCAAGGAGACCCCGAGTCGCCGAACGATCGCCGCAGGACGCTCAGGATTGTCTCCAGACAGCCCAAGAGGCCTCCAAGACCCTCCAAGACACCCAAAGAGGCCCCCAAGAGGCCTCCCAAAAGGGCCCCGAGAGGCCAAAATCATAGATTTTCGTTAGGCTCTTGGAGGATTTGGGCGTTCTCGCCTGTCGGATCCCCGACGCTCGCAGACGGACCTGGAGCCCCCAAGACCGCGCCAAAACGGCCCAAGAGGCCTCCAAGAGGGCACCAAGTCGGCCCCGAGACAGGCCAAGAGGCGCCCAAGACGGGCCAAAAAGGCCACAAGGCAACCCCCAAATGGACCCCAAAAGAGGAAGCACGAACGGAAAATCCGAGCCTTCCGCCCCAAGAGAATCCGAGGAGGTCCCAAGAGGTGCCCAGGGAGCCCCAGGAGGCCCCTAAGAGGCCCCAAGAGACCCTCAGGAGGCCCCCAAACGGCTCCCAAGAGGCGTCAAGACTGCCTCCAAGAGGCCCCCCGAGAAGCCTACCACGAGATCCCAACAAACATCTAATACGCTTCCTACCCACAACCCAGGCACGGTGGCGGGATGGGCCGAAGGCCTTTAGACACGCCGCCCCCTGTTGATTCATCGCAGGGGTGCCTGGCGTGCTGGATCCTTTCGGTTTTGGTTTTGGTTCTTTGTCAAAAGAACTTCCCCTGGGGCTTCGGCCCGTCCCGCCGGCCACCCGGAAGGCCCGGAATTTTCGGATTTGTTCGCTCAAGATGGCCCAAGATGGTCTCCAAGATGGCCACGTTTGCCCAAGATGGCCTCCAAGATGGTCCAAGATGGCCTCCAAGTCCGCCCAAGATGGTCCAAGACGGCCTCCCATACGGCCCAAGAGAGTCCAAGACGGCCGAAGACGGCCCAAGAGGCCCCCCAGAGGCCTCCAAGACGGCCCAAGAGGCCTCCAAGAGGACCCCCAGGAGGGCCCGAAGAGGCCAAAAACATTGATTATCCTTAGGTGTTTGAAGGATGTTCGCATTCGCTTCTTCTCGGCTTTCCGACGACCCAGGACTCCCCAAGAGGCCCCCAAGATCGCCCCCACAGCGCCCAAGAGGCCTCCAAGATGGCCTCAGGACTGCCCAAGAGGCCCCCAAGACGGCCCCAAGAGGGCACAAAGACGACCCAAGAGGCCTCCAAGACGCCCAAGATGGCCTCTAAGACGGCCCTGGAGCACCTCAAGAGGGCCCCAAGTCGGCCCAGAAAGGCCCACCGAACGGCTTCCGACGGCGTCAGACGGGCCAGGAGCCCACCAAGATGGCCGAAGTTGGCTCGCAACTGACCCAAGACGGCCCAAGAGGCCTCCAAGAGGGCCTCCAGGAAGGCCAGAAAAAGGCCAATTAGCCTGACGAAGGACCCAACCATATGCGGTGGAGCTCCCTATGGGGCCACGAAGCGTGCGAGGAGTGCGCCGAAATCGGTGGCGCGGACGAATGCGGACCCTGCCACTGGAGCCTTCGGTGGAGCTCTGTATGGGGCCACGAAATGCTGTCCTGGGTGGCGGTGACGCATGCGGACCCTGCCAGTGGAGCCTTCGGTGGAGCTCCCTATGGGGCCACGAAGCGCTGTCCTGGGTGGCGGTGACGCATGCGGACCCTGCCACTGGAGCCCGAGCTCCCCATGGGGCCACGAAGCGCTGTCCTGGGTGGCGGTGACGCATGCGGACCCTGCCACTGGAGCCTTCGGTGCCGAGATGTTGACGATGTTGTCCCACTATCACAGTGACGTCGCACACAAGCAACAACCCTTACATGTTTCACAGCCGTTGGACCGCAAACTCGTCTTTGCTGCCCTCGATTCATGATTAATTTGTCACGATGAGCCGATGCATCCGCCAAAAACTCGCTCGGGCCAACAATTGTGTTCTTCACCGCGCCGTCCCGCAAGCAGAGTAGTGGGTAGGAGGCCACATGTGAACCCTAATTACCCCACCACCCCACGATTTCTAAGGGGGGAGGTGGGGTTCAACTCGCTCGGGAGGTCCCGAACTAAGTGAACCCCCCCTAGAAATCGTGGGGTGGTGGGGCAGGGTTCGCATGTGGCCTGCTAGTGGATGCTAGTGGGTGTCACTGGAGCGGAAGCTCGGGTCGCCATGTTTAGACTGACTACCCGGGGGATCGCGCGGGGGTCCAGGAAGCGGCTCTCCTTCGCGGGGCATCGGGTGCGACACCGCGCGCTCAAAAGGTACGTCAATCGCACGTCCTTGGCCAAAACCACTGGTACGGCCTCAGCTGGAGCCTGGGCTTCGGCGAAGTCATCACGCTGAGCATCCGGTCCGTGCTGAGCCAGACCAGGGCTAGACGCCATGGATTCTGCTTGAGCTGGATCTGCCACCCGCTGGTCAGGATGGTTGTGAAGGCGCCCCGCTAACACCTGAACGCTGCCACGGGGCACAGAACATGGCTGTGTTTCATGCCCGGTGGTTCCCGCTCGCGCGAAGCACACGCACGTCGTGGAGGGCAGATGCCGCCTCCAGCCGACGGGGTGGGGGGCGGCGAGGTCTGGCCGGGAAGGCCCGCGGCGTCGTGGGGGAGCCGCACTGGTCGGGGGGGCGGAGGTGGAGGCGGACACTCGTCTGATGCGCCCGTAGCGTTTACGCGTGTCAGGTCTCCGGGAGCGGTCCGCTTTTCATCCGAGCCGTCTACTCGAGACCCCGCGTGGAGCCCTCGGGTCTGGAGCATGTGGTGATCGCCGATCGCCTGGGTGTCAACAGGTGGGACGTCGCCAATGCGCACCCGTCGGTACGCGTCGAAGTGTCAAGAGTAGACCGTGTGCAACGGCGCGCCATCTTCATGCGAGACGGATCGGCTTTAGCACGCAGCGGCAGGCCGCAAGTTCACCCCATGCTTGACCAAAGTGATTGAGCAATATTGCCACGGCGGGAGGAGGAGGAGGAGGAGGAGGAGGAGGAGGAGGAGGAGGAGGAGCAGAAGGTGCCGCAGCAGGAGAACAACAGAGGGAAGATGAAAAAGGGAGGGAGGACGGGGAGGAAGAGGGAGAGGCGGAAAAGAGAGAGAGAGAGAGCAGGAAGACGAGAAGGGGGGGATGGGGTGCAGCCTCACCAAGCTCGGCATCGGACAAAAAACAGTACCTGCTATCATCCTCCCTTGGCCCACGCGTGCGCTTTCGAGCCCCCGGTCCTCGTCGCCATCGCGATCGCCTCCCTCCAGCTTCTCCTCGCGCAGAGCCGCAGGCGAGGATCTTCCACCCCACACCCTCTCCACCCTCTCCCCATGACGCGCCCAAGGGGGCAAGCCTGTGAGACAGAGCACTGGCAGCTACGGGGTGGTACGCTCCTGCGCAACGGCCAGGGCGCTCCTGGGCACCCACGCCACGAGTTCTGTCCCTGTGCGCCAGTTCTGGGCTCAGAAGGGGCCCGGCCGGGATCGGGATCTGTGGCAGCGTAGGCACACGAGAACCCCAGCACTGCAGGTCAGATTTCAGAATCATTGGCTGTGGTTCAAAATTTGAAGGATGCCTGCAGCGAAGCTCAGCGGGGGTGTCCGACACCTCATCGTCGGTTGGACCATTAGGGGTAGGGTTCGCAGGTGTTCCCAGAGTCATCAAGGCCTCCCAGGTGGGGTCCGAGTAGATAGGGTCGGAGGATCGCGCCGCATCGCCGATGCATCGGCGACGTCGGCGATGCATCGGCGCCATCGGTGTGGAGAAAAGCCGGGCTCCACATCGAGCCACCTCGGCGATGCGTCGGCGATGCGGCGTGATCCTGCGACCCCATCCACTCCGACCCCATCCGGGAGGAGGAGGAGGAGGAGGAGGAGGAGGAGGAGGAGGACGAGACCTCGAGAGTCAGAGCTGGCAGCTCTCGGCGAGAGGAGCCAGGCACCCGCGCCGATTGTCTGCCCCAAGGGCCTCGGTGTGGGAGTGCTGCTGCCCCGCCTCGATCTCCCTGGCGATGGCGTCCGCCCTGCGCCGGACGTCCGGGTCCATCTTCTTGACGTCGAGCTGCGTCGTGTACTGCTCGATCGCGAAGTCGCCGGAGTCCCTGCCCGTCATCCGCTTCGCCACCTCGAACTGGTCGAAGCGCTCGATGTCCTTGGCGCTGCCCAGGCCACCGGCGGTCTCGGGCACGGAGTTGTCCGTCCACGGGACGAGCTCCCGCTGCTGGAGAGGGAGGTGGGGAGGAGGCGGGAGGAGGAAAGGGAGGATGAGGAGCAGGAGGAGGAGGAGGAGGAGGAGGAGGAGGAAGAAGACGGCTCATAGGCCTCGATCTGGCCGTTGCCCTTCGTAATCTCGCTGTCGGTGGCGAACTTCTGGGAGGGCTCCTCTGGTTCAGCGAGCGGCGGAATGTCCATGCCAGTCACTTGCAGCCAGTCCTTGCCAGAAATGATGAGGCTCGGTATCACTGCAGTGTCCGCCGAGGGATCATCCGTCACCTTGCGCGCGTGTTTCAGCGTGATGGACTGGTCACCGTTGACATCGCAACTGTGGAACTTGCCCTCGTACACCTGGGGAAACCAAAAGGTGCCGATACCGCAACTCCCCAGACTTCTCTTGGGGTGCGTTCTGACCAAGATTTCGAGGCGAATCCAGCGGTGGCGATGAGGGCCTCCCAGGAGGCCCCCAAAGGGGAAAACGAGGGGAGGGTAGCTGTATGGGTACCTTTTTCGGCGGCGAGCGACGGACGGGGGGGAGCGAGAGGGAGAAGTTCCTAAGCCTTTCGGGAAGACAACAGAAAACTTCTCAGGAGGCGCGAGGGCTTCTGAGAAGCCCCGCCGCCTTCCGAGAAGGCCTTCTCCCTCTCATTTTCCCCCCCTCGCTCACCGCCGACTTTTCCTCCTCTTGCGGATCGACGCTAATCGACGCTAATCGACGCTAGTCGACGCTAATCGACGCTAAATCGACGCTAATCGACGCTAACTGGCGCTAAATCGGCGCTAAGCGAAGCTAATCGACGCTAGCCGACGCCAAATCGACGCTGAATCGACGCTACAGACAGAAGTAGCAAGGTGCGCCAAGCTCCCAAGACTTGCTGCCGAACGCACCGTGTCCCCACGGAGCTTGACCGTCAGGGTTCGGCTCACGAGGCCCAGCAGGCAGTAGGTCAGCCGGTCGCGGTTGACGCTGGAGACGTCCGCGGGCCTGCCCGCGGGAGCCGCGGCCCCCCTGCCCTCGCCCTTTCTCGCCGCGCCACGGCCGCCCGTCTGCATGCCGGCGACGCTCGGGACCTCTCGGGCGGAGGCGGCCAAAAGGGGGGCACCAACAAGAGCAGGCTGCGAGGCCGACGCCCCGGAGACCTCCTCGCGTCGCGAAGGACTCACGACGGGATGCGTTTCTCGTTCTCTTCGGCCTCCGGGGGCCCTTGCCGGGCCTCGGGACCGTCGAAAAACGGCTCGGTCCTGGAACGGGGTCCAGGCCTCCAGGGGTCGACGTTGTGTACAGATCACGGCGCCGGGGGTCTGGGAGGTGGGGATACCAAAAGAAGAGACTGCGAGACCGACACCGTTGTGCCCTGGCTCAGGCAGGAACAAATATCAACGGGGCCCGGTGGCGTCGTGGATATCGTGATCGGTGCGTGCCCGCAGCGGCGCTGGCCCAAGGAGGTGCCACGGGACTGTGCAGTTCGGGGCCGGAAGCGCCCTCAGCATCTACAAACGAACCAGGCGTTCGCGGAACCACTTGGGGTCGCGAGCGGACTTCGCTGCATGGGCCCTGGAGAGGGAGGTGCCTCCGGCCAGAGCCGTGGGAGTGAAGTGGGGATGAGGCACATGGTACAGTGCCGTTGGACGAAGGAGCCAGGGCCTCGTGTACGCTGGGTGGCCTGTCATGAGGAAGTCGCAGGCCGCCTCGCCTCGCATCGCCTCGCCTCGACGGGGTAGCTGGGAACTGTGTCAGGGTCGGGAGACCAGGAAGGGGTTCGATGTCGACTTCCTCGATCACACCACTTAATCTTGAAGCATGTCATGTCTGGCTCCGAATCCATCCTCAACGAAATTTGTGTGTGTCTTGCTGAGCTTGAAATATGGCCGACTCCGAAACGAAAACAACATCCCCTACGCCCTCGAAGCATGGCTTTTGCCTTTTCCCCGGGCCAAGACCCTCGCCACCAGCCGCCGAGTGAGCAGCCGCTCGTTCTGCGCCAGCAACAGGCTTGCTCAGAACCGCGCCAGGGCCCGGCGGGGCCAGCGCTTGAGCAACAATTGCAGCGAGAATGGAGGGAGGAGAATGATGCGGATAAGCTGGGGAGCGGGAGCGCACACACCAACTCTCGGCCTGCCTGTGACAGTGAGGAGAGCATATATCCGCCGGCCCCCTTGTGGGGCCACGAGGCTGTAGGCCGAAACTTCGCAGTTTCCTGTACCAGTTACAGCTTCCACTTTTCACTGCTTCTTGCTGCTAACTGTTCCTTGTTGATGGACCGTGCGAAGGGGGGAGGCCCAAACGGGCAGGTTTAGCACGCACTTAACGTGTGCTCTGAATTGTTGGGGTGAATAAAAATATACACCCCTCACGCAGATCGGCGGTGTCAGGGTCCAAAAACACAGGGGATATGCCACATTTCTGAAATTCGCTGGCACCCCTCACGCAGATCAGCGGGGTCAGGGTCCAAAAACACATTGGATTTGCCACATTTCTGAGAATCGGTGGCACCCCTCACGCAGATCGGCGGGGTCAGAGTCCAAAAACATAAAGGATTTGCAACATTTCTGAAATTCGCTTGCACCCCTCACGCAGATCGGCGGGGTCAGGATCAAAAAAAACATAAAGGATTTGCAACATTTCTAAAATCAGGTGGCACCCCTCACGCTGATCGGCGGGTTGAGGGTCAAAAAAAACATGGGATTTGCAACATTTCTGAAATTCGCTGGCACCCCTCAAGCAGATCGGCGGGGTCAGGGTCCAAAAACACATAGGATTCACAACATTGCTGAAATCCGGTGTCACCCATCACGCAGATCGGCGGGGTCAGGGTCCAAAAACACAGGGGATGTGCCACACTTCTGACATTCGGCGGCACCCCTCACGCAGATCCGTAGGGTCAGGGTCCAAAAACACAAGGGTTTTGCCACACTTCTGAAATTCGGTGGCACCCCTCACGCAGATCCGTAGGGTCAGGGTCGAAAAACAAACAGGTCCCGACACTGCTTCACGGCGGCGCCCAGACCTCATGATTTAGCTTTTGCATCTCCCATTATCCGAGACAGGGGGCCGGCGGCATGGGGCGAAGCCCTTAGGGTTATGTGTTCGCAGCGAATGCGGGCGCTATGGAAGAGGGTGGAAGGGGGCATAACGTCACGCCCCCTCCAATACCACAGACTGTTGTGCAAACGCAGTGCGGTAGTGCCGGGGACGCACTCGGGGGGAGAGCGTTACGTTATGTGGGGGTGGGAAGGCACACACACACACACATATATATATATATATATATATATATATATATATATATGCTTCTCTACACCTGTTTTTGTGCACTCCGCCAGGGAGCTTGTCAGGCCAGGACCTCTGGGGGCTACTCAGGGGTCAACCCAGGAGTTGGGAGAGGTCCCGTCCCGTCAGCGGCATCCAAGGGCCTCCCAACCCGCCTGGCACAGCCGTGGCGCTTAAGCACCCGCGCTGCGTCCCAGACGAGCTGACACACTTGCACCGCCGGGAGGTTAACGTCACCAACCCCTGAACCCCCTAGCTCTCGTCCTGGCAATCACTCGCGCGGAGGCAGGCACGGCCACGCGCGAGACGGTAGCAATGCTGCCCCCTGTCTGTGGGTGGGCCAACACAGCTACGGAAGATGGATGAAACTCAACCGTTCTCCATCAACGGCGTCGCGCACGCTCAGGTGGACTCCGCATAGGCTTCCTTGGAAGGTTACTATATGCTTCTCTACACCTGTTTTTGTGCACTCCGCCAGGGAGCTTGTCAGGCCAGGACCTCTGGGGGCTACTCAGGGGTCAACCCAGGAGTTGGGAGAGGTCCCGCCCCGTCAGCGGCATCCAAGGGCCTCCCAACCCGCCTGGCACAGCCGTGGCGCTTAAGCACCCGCGCTGCGTCCCAGACGAGCTGACACACTTGCACCGCCGGGAGGTTAACGTCACCAACCCCTGAACCCCCTAGCTCTCTCCACGGTCCCTACCCTGGCAAAAGCCGCTCCCTCTTGCTCTTACCTATTCCCTCCACCCTGCTGTAATGAAATGAGGGAGGAAAGGTGGAGGATGGGCGGGACAGACAGACAGGCAGTACAAAGCAAGAACAGTTCATCTCGCTTCTGCTCGCAGTCGGGACGCGAGCAGGCCGCAGCGCCTCCGCTGCGTGGGCGAGAGATTTAATTGAGTGGCCTCGGCGACGGCATCCTGAACATACAAGCGGGCCGTGCGCGCCGAGGCCCATCTGCCTCGGAGCAGCGTCTGCTCCATGGAGCCGTGGCTGCGGAAGTCGGCGGAGGCGCCGCCCCGACGCCAGCTGTAGAGGGTGAGCTTCGCATCTTGCAGCTCCAGCAGCTCACGCACGCGGCCAAAGGTGCTCATGAAACTGCTTGGCTCCATCCCGAGGCACAAGTCCTGCTTGTGCGCCTGAGCCTTTGCCCTGGCAAGGAGGGCGACCGCTACGCCGCTCCGCACGAGCACGAACTCTCGGGCACCAGTCTGATGCTGGCTCTTGGTGTTGCGCAGCTGCAGCACGGCCATTTGGCGGAGTGGATACAGCTGTACATCGGACCACACGAGCGAGGTCATCTCACCCGTCCGGAGGAAAGCGTCGTAGCCTGCTGCCAGCACCGCCGCAGCGCCGAGCTGGCCCACGGCCGCAAATGCCCCTGCGAACGCTGCCGCAATCAGCGGCCCGATCGGCAGCGCCCGCCCAGCTGGCTCCAGGCGTTGCCACGTCTTGGCCAAGCGCCAGCTGTCCCGCAAGTGCCCTCGCACGGGCGGGAAAGCGTGCGTGATGCCTGCAATTGCATTATTAATCTCAAACAAAGATCCTCCGCTCAGCCAACGGCTCTCGATGAAGGCGGCCACGCCAGCGTCGACCTGAGCGGGCGTCTGCGGCTGCCGGTGCTCCTGGATCCAGAAATCAACGACATCATCGACCGCCGCACGGTACCGCTGCAGGTTGAGTGGCGTGACCATCGACTCCCTCAGCGGTTGGGACCTCGCTGCAGCTCGTCGCGCCATCGCCTGGGCCGTGACCCGGCTCACCTTTGCTGCTGCTGGCACTGCACGCTTGCCGGGGGCGGCCCTCCTGGCCCTCGCCGGCGGCAGCGCTGGGAGCGTGGCAGCGGCGGCCGAAGCTCCAGCGGGACGGCGTGTCGGCGGGCATGTCGTCGGTGTCGCAGTAGCCGTACAGCGGGTACCCTGCCGTCGCGAGGAGCAGGGAGTTGAGCCGGCGGAGCGCTGGCTGCAAAGCCCTCGCGCTCGATCTGCCTTTGGTGCTGACTGCCGCGATCGCTTGGGCATCCAGAATGTGCAGGTAGCGGCAGCGGTGGTTCTCAACTGCCCGGCACCTCCAGCGCGCTCCAGCCACCGCAGCCTCCAGCTCCAGCGCCGAGATGTGCCCAGGCCGCTGCCAGCGAAAGCCTTTGGCGATCCGCCAGGCCCAGAGGTGCGCACGGAGGGCTGCCCGCGGCCACGCGCGGGCGCGGTAGGGCGCCCCGGTGTCAAGCCGGACGTCCGTGCCCCCGCGGTCCGCGACCCTCAGGAACTCTACGATCAGGCTGCGTTCCAACTGCGGGTCGTGATGTCCCGGCTGCTGGAAGTCGGGGACCACGTTCCAGTTCGCCTCGCACGTGCCCACAGCGAGGCAGCTGCTGCCTGGGATGGCGGCCGCTAGCGCCCCCACCTGAGCGAGCCACGAGCCGAGAAGATACATGACAGCCTGGACGCAGAACGCATTCCCGATCAGGGACTCAATGACGCTGTCTCGCTCGGCGGCGGGGGCACTATCTTTTACAGCGGCCTGGAAATAGAGACGGTCGAACCCCATCAGAGCAGCACGCTCCTCAGGCACGGGCAGCCGGCCCCGCTCACGCCTCGCGTCCCAGATGAGGCTGCCGTCCTCGTAGTTGTTGACCTGGTAGCGGTAGCTGTCGGCAGCCCAGCGCTCCGCGGCCTGCACCGAGGCGCGGTCGAGGCCCACGGGCCGGAACGGCGGGTGGCGTCGCGGGATTGGCCTCGTGAAGCAAGGGAGGTCTGCCTCAGGGTCCAGTGTCGACCAGCCCTCCAGGAGCGAGGCACTCAGTGGGAGCCTCTCCACCGCAAGCGAGACCTTGAAGTACGCGGCTTCTCCCACACCCTTGGTCTCGACGGTGGCGTCGGACGCCAAGAACGCCGTGACAGGCCACGAGCACCAGTACAGGCGGGGCCGCCTGACGTGAGTGAGACACCTGGCATCGAGGAACACGGGCGTGACTCCAAGCGCCCTGGTGAACTCTGCCCTCGACTCTAGGGTCATGCTGAACACGTTCTCGACGAACCACATGGTGCGCTTAGGAAAGGCAGCCTCCGCTGCCTGGATCAGCTCGGGGACCCGGAAGAAGAGCCTCGACCTCGACCCCTCTAGGCCGGTCCCCACGACATTGATGCTCGCAAGGTCTTGGCACGGGCTCCCCGCGGTCAAGACGACCCAGTCGGCGTCCCGTGCGTAGCCCTTCAGCATCTCAGTAAACCGCGCCGCGTCGACGGCCTCGATGTTGCCAAGCTCAATCACGCCCGCCCAGCGGCGACGCACCAGTCGCCGGGCAGCGGGCTCAACCTCGCAGCTGACGTGGGCCATCACGTCGATCGGGAGTCTGGAGGCCGCCACCGCGGCCCCAGCAGCGCCTGCGAAGAGCTCGATGAGAACTATGCGAGGGCGCCACCGCACACCACGCACAGGAGCCGCAACTGCACCAGGCCGCAAAGTCACTGCTGATGCTCCCCCTCTCGCGCAGGCAACGCCCTGCGCCGAGAGCCCGGCCGTGTGGCAGATGCCCCCGGCGCGCTCGCTGGCATCGGTCGCAATGACACAAGTGTCGATCCTTGCGCGCAGGTCGGTGTATGCCAGCGGCAGCGCCATCGCGAAGCCCAAGAGCTCGTCGCACATGCCAAGGGGAACAGCCTGCGGGCGCGTCCAGCGCCCAGCAGCCCACACGCTGTTGAGGAACCCCATGAAAGGCCTCCTGAACTCCGCTGCCCTGACGCACCTGCCTAGGATCATGAGCATGCCCTGCGACGAGAGGCCCTGTCTGCCCATGCCCCACAGGATGAACGCCAGCAGCTGGTGAAGCTTCTCGGTTGTGACTCCGACCCGGCCGACGGCCCCGTCAAGTCCCGCGCCCATCCGCTCCAGGACCAGCGCGCGGTGCTTGGCCTTGCCGGGGGCGACGCTGATCCCCGAGCGGCCGTAGGCGGCCCTCTGCTCCTCCTGCGCGCAGCTCATCGTGCCGAGGAGCTCCGCGACCATCGCGTTGGGCACCACCTCGCCATGGTCCCAGTCGTCGATGTAGTACTGGATCCACTGCTGCTCGAGCTCCTTCGACTTGAACGGAAGTGGTCGGTCCTTGCGCCACTCGAGCTCCGCGGGAAACCCCGCAGCGAGGGGGCGAGAGCCGAACCCGAGGCGCCTGTGGCAGTGCTGAAACACCGTGACCGCGTTGATCCAGCCCATCGGGATGACGCGCAGCGCGAGGTGTGTCTTCCCAGGACCCGGCACGCCGATGAGCTCGTTCGGGATCGCCTCCGCGAGGGCCATGTACGGCTGCCAAGCCTCGGGCAGCTCGTAGCAGTAGAAAGCGGAGGCTTGGTCATCTGACGACCAGAGCAGCATGTGGCCCTCTGGGAGCGGGATGGCGACCCACGAGGGCGACGCGCTAAGGGTCCCGATGTCGTCCCTCATGATGCGCTGGTAGCTGTTGGCCGGGACCATGTTGATGATCAGGCGCTGGACGCACGCCTGGCCAGGTGACGGCGCGCCACCCTTGGCGACCCCAAACGCCCCGGCGAGCACCTTGCGGTTCCCGACCTTGAAGATGCGGTCGTCGGCGATCGGCGCAGCCAGCCCCAGCTCGACGAGCTTGGTCCCGATACTGTACCACTCCTGCTTGGACGTGACCTGGATCGCCGCCCGCGGGACCTCAGCAGGCCACTCATCTCGAGGGAGCAAGGCCAGCGTGGGGTCGGCAAGCCAGGCGCCCACCTGAGCGTCCGCGATGTCGACCGCCTTGACAGAGGCGGCGACGCCCCGCGCGGGGAGGCCTGGCATGATGCCCGCAAGCGAGAGTGGCAAGGCGCGGGACGTCTCCTCGCCCCCGTAGGAGACGGTCCTCGACGCGATGACCTGGTCCCAGTCCGGGAGCTCGAAAGCTGTGGCGGCATCCTGAACGAAATACTCACAGGCCTCCTGCACAATGCCGAGCGCACTGATCTGACTTGCCGTGGGCCGCCTTGCGGCGACGGTTGGACAACGCATGTGCCCCGTGTACTGGTAGTTCAGGCTGAAGACCACGAGCTGGGCCCACCCTTGCGCCGTGGCGGCGTCCACCTCGCAGGTCTCCGGCAGCTGCTGGTGCAGGTACCAGGCGGCACGGTGCCTCTCGAAGAGCGGGGCGTCGGGCAGCGGTAACGGCAACACCTCGCGCAGCCGCGCGAAGCTGGCCGTGGGGTCTGGCGAAGTGCACATCTTACGAACGTACCGCCCGATCGCCCCTGGCGAACCGTGCACCGCCTCGTGGACCGCGAGGGCGAGCCTGAACTTGGAGCTGACGCCCGTGCCCACCTCGGCTAGCATCTGGCGCCACCGCCGAGCCTGCGAGCTGCCGCGTAGCTGCCGCTCAGGCGGGCGGAGGGCAGGCAGGGGCATGCTCGGGGCCGCGGCCTTAGCCGCGTCGGCCCTCACGCCCGAACCCAGGCCGTCCTGCGAGCAGCGCTCGTGCCGCGGCTCTTCCCCGTCTTGCCTTTGCCGCGGCTCTTGGCAGCCAGCGGCCTCCCGATGCGCGCCTTCCATGCTGCCTGGGTCTCGCCCTCGCGCCTCGGGTGGGCCGCCTTGTGCTGCGCGAAGCTCCGGCCTGCTGCCGCGTCCGCTGGTGGCACGCGGGCGGCGGCTGATGCGTCGGGGTCCCCCTCGGAGTCGCTCAGGAGCTGGACCGACCGCGTGGGACTGCGGCTGGCCCTCCGCGCTGCTGGCTGCTTCTTCCCGGCGGGGGGAACTGCGGGACCGTCGCCTGGAACTCGTCCGGCAAGGATCCTCATCG